CATCCAGATGACCTTCGTCCAGATGAACATCGCACAGATGACCCTTGACCCGATGAAATTTGCGCAGATGAGCCTCGCACGGATGATTTTGTCTCTGATTTGTCCCAGAAGTCCCTGACCAGATGTCTCTTTCCCAGATTGCCGTCGCCTATGTGATCCTCCCCAAGGTAACCATGGTTCAATGATCGTCGTCCAGATGGCCGTCGACTAGATGACCCTGACCGAGATAGCCCTCGCCAAGATGACTCTAAAATCTAAATGACCCCTTACATTATTGGCACCGTGTCCATTGGATTATACGGTCCCTACTACCGTATAACTAATTTACTAGACCAAAAGAACAATACTATTTGGATGATACGGTCCTTACTACCGTACTAATTTACTGGATGAAAAGAACAATACTATTTGGATGATACGGTCCTTACTACCGTACTAATTTACCAGACGAAAAGAACAATACTATTTGGATGATACGGTCCTTACTACCGTACTAATTTACCTGACGAAAAGAACAATACTATTTGGATGATACGGTCCTTACTACCGTACTAATTTACTAGACGAAAAGAACAATAATATTAGAGTTCCCGGGGAAATGATCCACTATAATACGACTTTTTTTTAAAAAAAGGGGATGTTCTCTCATTCCGGTTCTCATGCGCCTGTTTCTCTCACTACGTCCCTGGTTTTGGGCACTTATTATTTTTAAGACAACACTATTTATAATGACTTCTTTGTTAAGCGATTCGGCTGTCAATGCATCAGTAACTTAATATGAGTTGGACTCGGTCAAGGAAATGATCTCTGCACTGCATTAATGTCACAAGTCCACAGATAAGTGGAGACGAACGCCCAGTTCACACGATCAAATTTTCGTCCAATGTTCGATCATACCTTTGGTGATGGTTTTTTGTATGAAACCTTGTCGCAAATTTTAAACAATTACTATTTGATAAAATTCTCATTTTTATCCACACACAAAAAGAAAGAAACCACGTACAAAATAGTGCGAACATTAAAAATTGGACGCAAATTTGAAGCGACCATTTGTCGCTGGGGTTCTTTCAAATATAGATTATTACGACCTTCGGTAGATAATTGAAATGTCTACATAACGAAAGTAGACGATATTTCCATTAAATATATCATTAAATAATTTCCACTTTTCCTCCCAGGTGGTTGGCAGGTTGGCTTTGTTGACGTTTGTTCAGTTTTGTTGAGGTTTATTTCTTCAACTTTTTTACCATCTTTTTCCAACAACATGAACAATTTATCGGACTTCATGTTGTGTTCAGGGTTAAATGTTTTTGTTGTTTATTTTAAATGTGTTTGTTGTTTGTTACATGTGTTGTTTTTTTTAATTTTAATTATTTAGGTTTAGTGTATTTGTGCTTAAGGTTTTCAGATATTTGTGTACATGATGCTAGATAGCAGTGGCATAGCTAGGGTTGGTGTCACCCGGTGCGGTAAACTCTTCTTGTTAAAATAAGTCCACATTATAACAATGACAATAACAAAAACACATAAATCGAAGGTCATTGAGGTCAATGTATTTAAAAACTGTAACATTTTTAAGTTAGAGATATTTTTACATTAAATTTACTTTATTTTAACTTTTCCTTTCATTGTCTTCAAATCTGCAAACCTGCCAATGACTTGATCAAAATCAGGGTCTTTCACTGTATCACTTTCAATTGATCGCAGAGCCACATCAGAAAGCCTAGACTATCCCATGTTGGATCATAAATATTTCTTGATAAGCCTTAGTTTTGAAAAGCTCCGCTCACATGAAGCCACATAAACACATTTCTTAAGAAAAATTTAAGTCTTAGCGAAAGTATTGGAAGAGAGTATAGCCAGGAACGAATTTGAATGTTGTTTCTTTAACATAAACAGGAAACAATCTGCAGCAAAAAACATGCAATTTCTGACTGACGAGTGAATAAACCATCCACGACCGCGGTATTTTCTCTCCAGTATTTTGCATCGTCCCGTAGATCCATTGCTTTTTTAGTTGGCGAACACCTCGTTTAGATTTCACACTTTGCCTTGTCACTTGGCTGAGTAGTACGTCCTTGTCACTTCGCTGAGTAGTACGTCCTTGTCACTTCGCTGAGCAGTACGTCCTTGTCACTTGGCTGAGTAGTACGTCCTTGTCACTTCGCTGAGTAGTACGTCCTTGTCACTTCGCTGAGTAGTACGTCCTTGTCACTTGGCTGAGTAGTACGTCCTTGTCACTTGGCTGAGTAGTACGTCCTTGTCACTTCGCTGAGTAGTACGTCCTTGTCACTTGGCTGAGTAGTACGTCCTTGTTCTGAAACGAGCTACTCCATATTTTAAGATTTTCAGACCGAAAATAATCTGAACTGTTACATTCCAGAGAGAATCATCTGATAAAATGTGCCAGTTTTTGTAATTAACCTTTACACTTACAGTTTATGGGTTTGAATCAACATAATCAGCAGACATTTCTGTTTCCAAACCCACCATGTCTTTTACTTGTGTTTTCGTCTCAATCGTTCCATTTCCTCCACTATTTGCTTTTCTATAGAATGCCTGCTGCTGGTATCGTGAGAATCAGTTTCAATGGTAGGCTGAGGAACGTCTTTTGATGAACCCTGACCCTGGTCACATTTGCTTTCTTGATATCGAAGCATGTATTCTGGTAGTGATTTTAGTGAGTTGCTTATTTTAAATTATTTTCATATTTGCTTTTCACTGCTAACAGCCACTTGGTCGTTTAGATTTGTGCCGGCCGTGGGCCGTGGGGCATGGTATAATAATCTTGAACAATAAAAATGCTTTAATTGTGTCATGTTCGAGACAACAAACACAATAATTACTGACGACAGTTCAAAGACAACAGTCAGATCACTGTCCAAAATACAACAGAGAAAGGTAATAGGTAAAACCCAGCCGTCGAAATATAAAAATCGTGCTCAAATGTTAAGGGGCGTTGCTAGTGACGAATGGGGGAAAATAGTAATTTTTTAGTATTTCTGGGTTTCAATATATAATATTATATATGTCTTTAAAAAAAAAAAAAACTTTCTTTATTTAAATTAAAATAAATAAGAATGAACCATTAAAAGATAAAAAATTGTGTAAAATAATATATTGTTTAACCCTATAAATGTGTACAAATTCATTTTAAATGTTTTTAATTGTTACCGATTCTTATAGGCCTACTTAGATTCGCCCGACAACACAGTATTTGATATCAATGGAAAGCCCTATTTCTCAGAATTTAGATACGGAAGTTACTGAACGCTTTGAAACGGCGTGGAATAATGACTGTCTTTCGGACCAAAACATAGGGTCATCTCATTTATGACGCATCAACCTTGAACGTTGAATCAAGCACGCATTTGGATTGGTTACATTTATTGTGAAAAATGTATTAGTGATCGGTTATCCTTTTATGAATCTCGGTAAGACCGAGCTGTGTGTGCTCTGTAAATATGCAATTTTTCAATCGGGTGTCACCCCTAAAATGGTGTCACCCGGTGCGGTCCGCACCCCTTCACTACGCCACTGCTAGACAGCATTGGTATACATGAAGTTAGACAGCCTTGGAATATACGAGTGCATTTGTTGGTAGGGGCGGCAAAATATCATGGCTCACCCCGGGCGGCACTTGCCCTAGATTTGCCACTGGAACCATGCTCCAATTACATGATTATACAAGGGTGTTCATGTGCCAAACTACATTTGTATTATTTAGTGTTTTTTTACTCCATAAATCAACCACCCAAGTCACATCAACAAATATTTTAAAAAAAACGAATAAAGTTTCATAAAGAATTCAATTCAAATTCGCTATCTCCATAGAATGCTCATCAATGCACAGTCGTACTTTGAGTAATACATTTTAAGAGATGTAAATTATTTTCTATTTTTCAGTGCGTTTCATCTCGTCTTTGATAGAAAGTATTTTTTTTTTCATTATATGTATTCTGTAAGTATTTTTATGGTTTCATTAATAAGGGGCTGTAAAATCAACGACTATCCTGGACATCACAAACTCTAGCTATTTCATCCCTACTAATTTAAAATTGTATTTATTATATCTTTATTTGGGTATGGCCATAAATGATAGGGTGAAAAGAGATTGTCATATTGTGTTAAAGCGTTCAGTTAATTTATTGATTGTAGACGGTAACTGCATGTAGCAGCGTGGTTGCTAAAGTATTCGAGTACCGATTTAAATTAGTCGACTAGAAATTTATTTTATGAACAAGTATTCCTTACGTCAACGAATTTTAGCACCTTCGTAGGTTCTCAGCTTTTAAAAGTCATGTTAATAAAATACTTAATGCAATTATATATGTATAAAATATTTTACATTTCTGTCTTAAATTTATCTGTAGATAAAAAACGAATATCTTGTCCTCAAATAAATATATTGATATAAAAATGTTTTAGTAAAAACTATTATATTAATGTATATTGTTTTTATTTTTAAAAAAATCTTTGACATATCAAACTTGATGGAGCTTTTGGTTCATTTTTATTATCTTAGAATTCTAAATTAAGAATTTATTTGATTTAACTTGAGATATTATTTTCTTAAAATTGTGCATAGCTTAAGTTTTGAGGTAGGACTTGTTTAACTAAGGTTAATTTTAAAAGACGTAAAATTAAAATATCATTTTCCAAATTACAAATAAATTTGTGAATTTGCATTGTAAAAAGTTATTATAACAATCTTTCAGTTATAATTAATATTTCTGTTGAAACGTAACATAAAATGCTCACATCAGTAAGCATTTCCTAAGATATCTTTTCAAGCCTTTGATTAATACAAAGTGTATTATTAGTAAAATGTATCTATTAATGAACATTTTTCATTTGGTTAAATGTATGCGTTTTAAATTAGTAGACGCAGTGTGTATTCGTGTAAATAATAATCGGAAATTATTGATGTGAAATGATTTCGACTACCAAGCACGCCATGTCCGTGACGTAGGAATCACGCGATTTCATTGGTTATCTTACATGAGCCCACATTCACATCTGACGACTTTTTAATCGCATGAGGACAGTCACTAAAGTTTACAAACTAATCGTCTTATTAGAAGCGGACGTTTCACCTGAATGATGTAAGATATATATGTTAAGTGTATTAAAAGCTAATCAAAGCACGAAAATTTCAACTTAAAAAAGCCCTATGTTGTAATTTTTTCAATTCAACTGCGATACCGGATACCGGCACACCATCTTTCGACTAATATCAATGAATGATAAAGCTAAGGCCTTAAAAATCCTTAAGACAAGTCTTAAGTTTAAGTAAGGGCTTAAATGAATTTCCCTATAGTATAGGATACAGTGTAGACAGTACGCTCTTGTTATTCTTGTAGTTGCTACTCACCAAACAGAAGCATTCGCTTACTGCAAAGGTACAGTTATTATCAACACTTTATTAGTTAAATTTATATCAGAGTGTAGGCCTATGCCTATACTATCTATGTAAGTATGTTAGCTATGTTTCAGACATTGTCATGTGTATTACTAGTATAAATATTGAGTATAAGTATGTACTTATATTTTTGTAGGCAATTAATACTATTATTGCTGGTTCTATCACATTGGGAGGCCAATAGAATTTAGGGTATTATAAAGTACACAATGCAGCTGAGTAAGCCTAAGGCCGCAAAGGTTTGATTCTGTTTTTACCAGATGACACATGCTGTAGTCTACTGGTTTTTTAAAATATTGACTTGGTTAGGCTGTGAGCGTGAGAGGTAACATTTTTAGTCTTATAAAAAAATAACTTTCAAAGTTAGTGTAGTTTAAGGTTAAATTTAAAAAATTAAAAAACGATCACTCATCAAATGGCACAATAAATTATATAATAATATGTAAAAATTGGCATATATTGCATAAAAATAACTATTGGTAGCCCTTATAAGTATTATTTATTTCAAAAGAAAAAGAAGAAGAAGAATGCCTCACATCACAGACAAGAGTTCTCTCTAGCATAGTGTAGGGTGTAGGCAGGCTAACCACAAATAGATCTAAGTTATTCGAAGTGTCTACATGTCCAGCTCGCCGGACACATAGTGCGGGAGATATAGGTCCGGCGGGCATGTCACGTGACCGCCGGACAACTAGCAGGCGTTATTATTCCGGCAGGTCATGTGGTCGAAGGCAAAATAGTTGCATTGCATTTGATATTCCGATCCCCAGATAATAAATAAATGCTGAACATGTGAATATATTATAATATTCAAATGCTCTGAGTTAAAGTGTTTGACTTTGAATCTTAAATTAGTCGGCCTATATACTAATTAGTAGTACAAGAACTTGTAAAGCGCTACCTTGAAGCCTAAAGTTAAAATATGAACCAAATAAAATAAGACCAGTAGACTTCAATAGGCCTATGCCTATGTCAATAAAATAAAGTTGTATTTCAGGATTATTGTTTAGTATTGCATAACAAGTAGGCTAGGCTGCAGTATATCGGCCTTATATTAAGATGTAGGGTATATTTTTTTATGAGCCATCGGCCTCCCTGCCTTAAACTTTATTATTTTATTTATCACCCTCAGTATAATTTTTTTAGCATTTGTATTTTTTATTACCGTTATTCTCTCTCCCTCTTAACATTGTTTCCTTCTAGAATGAATTATTGCTTAACCCCACTTTGTTTGGTAAGATACCCAAGTATTTTTTTATATTGTTTGTTTGCAAGATACTCAATTCTTCCGACGTCAGGTGACTTGGTCGCCGCACAAATAGTGCGCGAGATACACATCCGTCGCGCCGGACTTGTAGACACTGCCTAAGTTATTTTTGGAAATCCATGAACATTTTTTAAAAAGTCGTCAGCTTAGCCTACAGTAATTTATGCACTATTATATGGGGCTAAATGTCTACATCTGCCCTAAACTAATTAAATTAGCCTATAGGACCTACTTGAGTTTTCAAAGATATATAATATAGTATATGGATATTTTGTTAGGCCTAATATTGCCGTGCCTTAACTAATCGATCAGGCTTCTCACTTAGATTAGGCACTTAAGTAACGATCAGAAAAACCTGAAAAAATTGTGGCCTATTTAATCATATTAAGTCTCATTTTAATTGTTTAAATAATGTAAATATAAAAAAAAGATTCAGTTTACCTTTGATGTTGAATTAATTGAAATAGATAAGTAAACGAAGTGGTTATGCGCAGCCGACTGCGTATAACCCTGAGAGTTATACGCAGTCGGCAAGTCACGTGACGTCTATATTCTTCCTGTGTTACAGTATCAATCAATAAGGGTGCCTCGTTATTGGGGTGACTGGGTGGTCGAATGGTACAAACTGACCAAACCTCAAGATGGTGGTCTTGAGTTCAATTCCAGCCAACGACAAGCCATGAATTCGCGTTTGTTGCTATGTTTGTTCTCGAGGATGAAGCAAAATCAACTAGGCTTATTGTTTTACTTTTGTTTTGGCTAAAAAATGTTAAAACATGAGAAGAATTATTAACTTGACCAATGTAATGTTAATAATGTTATTCTTATAATTATCAGATATATTTTTGTGGTAACATATATTTTGTGTTGTTAACTAATTTTGTGGCAGATAAAATCATGTTTCTCTGGTACAGTAATAAATATAATCATAGGTTGAGAGTAGCAGTAAAAAAAATCGCTGTAGGGGCAGGGGTTCTGTAGAGGGAGCACTGTAAGTGTAAGTAATACTTTCACACAGTTATAGTTTTGCATGGAAGCTGAAAACTGTTATATTTAGGTCATCAAAAAAAAGAAGAACATAAATGATATAATTTTTTTAAAAATAAATAGAATGTATTTCTTGAATTAGTCAGTAAAACCAACCACATGGTCATAGCAACATATAAAAACCTAATCAATCAAAATACATAACTAGACTTAGACCGCGTTAGGCTTAGACTCTAAGAAATGTAGACTTTGACTTATACTTATAATTATAATATATAAGATACAAGCAATAATACTAATAGCACTAATACTAGTAACATTGCTATCAACAATTTCAATATTAATTAAAATTAATTCAATTAAAACTTTACGTTAAACACATTAAAAGTTATAGTTCTAACAACCCATCATGCAACTAATTACACATAATACTTTTTTTTTTAATTGCCAAACAAGCGATTGATAACCTTATTTGGCTAAATTCCTAGCCGACTGCGTATAACCCTCAGAGTTATGCGCAGTCGACTGCGTATAACTCTCAGGGTTATGCGCAGCCGACTGTGTATAACGCTTCCCATAAGTAAATGTATAAATCTAAGTCACTCCAGTTCAATATTTTTCAAGTTATTTAGCAATAGAATACTAAACAAAAAGAAAATATTTTAAACATGACATCTGTTCCTTGTGCAATTTCAAAACTTGTGCATGGATCCGCCAAACTTAAAAGTTTGGAAAATGCTGCTTGAGAATACATGTCTTTAATAGGCCTAGCCTAATCCATACATTATATAGACAACATAATTTTGGTCTGTTGCAACCCCTATTCCCATCCAAAGACTGACTGTAGAATACTTAGATGAAAAGGCCCTACACTTATAGGCCTACTTGTCACTCTAGGATTTTTATTAAAAATATTTTTATATCATTCTATATGAAATTAATGATATTTTATTAATTATGTTTGTTTTACGCCTTTAAAAAAAATATAATTATGTCAAGTGTGAGCCTAAGTCAAGTAATGTATCTTAACATGAGTGCCATTTTAACAGTGCCCTAGTTATATATCTTACACATCAAGCACATTTACACTTGACTACTCAAAATACTCATTATAGCAACAGTTATTACTACTTACTAGGCGTAGTAAAAAAATAACTTGTTTTGATACCCATCAAGACTCATATTTACTTAAGACAATTAGACTTAAGCAGATGTTCAGTTCTTGTTTCAAATCCAAATTTGAAGTTGAGAATAGACCTTGAGATGATTTTGCATTTTTTAAACAAAAAAAGTCTTCTTACTTATATCCTGCATTACTATAAAGCTTACTCCGTAAATGTAATAAAAATGGAATAAAAACTTTATAAATTCGACCTGTGTACTGTTTTAATTTTTCTCCTTTAGTAAATATAATTGAACGATAAGCAAGTATAAGTAGAGTAGGCTACTTAATTTAACCACTTTGTTATGCATTTATATTCATTATTGTTATTTAATCTGATAACCAGAGTTTAACCATAAAATAGGGTAACAGGATTTTTTTTCCTCCTTTATTTTATGATTGCAAATTTGAAATTTATAAAATATGATTATGACCATGTCTTACTATTAGTTTTAGAGACCCATGATTTACACAATGACCATGAACTGTTATCAAGTAGGCCTAGTAAAAAGTGGCCCATTATTGTTTTATAAGCATGTCTATGATCTCTTCTGCTCAAATTTTATCAGTGACGTGAGTTGAAATTGGATATCAAATTTGTGGACTTTATTTTTGTTGACAACCTATTATCTAGCTATCCTAAAGTGAGTTTTATCATATTTTATGGGCCAATGATCAGTAGGTTAAATGTAAGTTATCAGGCAAGAGTTAATGTTTGTCCTTAGTTTATAACGGCTACCATAGTTCTTTTTATGGATTTTTGTTTTGAAATAATGATTGGCATTGCTTATACAGATAATAAGCCTTTACCTACAGTATCTTTTAATTTAAAATTTCACAGATTCAACTATTCTGACACCAAGCTAAAAAATGCCAGGTAGAATTACTTTAAAAGACTCCATATGTAATGGTGGAGCACATGGTGATGGCCCACATAACAGAGTTGGTCCAAATCTCCCAGAATTTGTTTACAATGGAGAAGTTGCGATCAGTGGCATATCTGGTCGTTTGCCAGAATCTGACAATATGGCAGAGTTTCGTGATCATTTAATGAAAAAGGAAGACATGGTCACTGCTGATAACAGGAGATGGGAAATAGGTAATTGGTTATTTGACTAAGTTTTCTGTGTTAAAAATAAAAAGGCTGTGTCACAAAGACTTGGAAATCCACTGGCATAACATTTAGAATTTGGGTGATCTTGCTTATTTATAAAAAATGTAATTCAGTACTGTGGTTGCTATTTTTAGGAGGGTGAGTGGACATTATTATAAATTAAAAAGCTTTGAAATGTTGCTGCTGGTAAATATGCTTCATCATTTTTCCCGAATTAGGAAATATGTTTATTTTGAGTATATTATATTTTATAAAACATGTTTATATGGGAAGTTCTATTTTGTAGAGTTAGATTTTGTTGAATAAGAAAGCACTTGAAAGTTGCCTTGGAAATACAGAACTATTCTAACTTTGTTATCTTTTTGCCAAACTGTATTAATCCTGAACATTTTCTTGTGATCTCAGGTCTCCATGGTAATCCTCCAAGAAATGGAAAATTAAAAGAAATCAGGCATTTTGATGCTGCATTTTTTGGTGTTCATCCAAAACAAGCAGATTGCATGGATCCTCAACTAAGACTTCTACTTGAAGTAGCATATGAAGCTATTGTTGATGCAGGTTAGTCAAAGATAAACAATTTAAAGGAAATTGAAATTTCACAATATTATGTTATACCGAGTAGATGCTTCCCAATCAGGGGTGGACTGGGCCGCCGGGACACCGGGAAGATTCCCGATGGGCCGCTAGGACCGGTGATATAATAAAAATAAAAGTCATGAAGATACGGCCGCTTTTTGTTTTTTTCCCGGGCCGCTTGAACTCCCCAGTCCACCCCTGTTCCTAATCTTTTGGAACATTTTTTTTTTTTTTTCTGTAAGCGGGGGTTGGAGCCAGAAATTAATTTCTTCGCCGCTTTTGACATTATGTCAACTTACTGTGAATTGTGCGGGGAGAAAGGTAAAGGTTTAGCTAATCATTCATTAATAATTTAGTTTAACATATTTCTTTGCATTGAAACAGATAGTTTAAATATTTAAATAAGTTTAATATTTGTTTTGATATAAAATTTGTTAAATCATTATTTCCATAAGGACAAACAATAGAGAGTGTTCGTGGAACAAAGACTGGTGTATATGTTGGGGTGAGTCAGTCAGATGCATCCGATGCTTGGTCTGCTGATGCAGAGACATTAATAGGATACACAATGCCAGGATGCTGCAGAGCAATGTTTGCTAATAGAATCTCATTTTTCTTTGATTTAAAAGGTAAATTAATTTGTTTTAATTTAGTTAATTAGATAAGATTCATATTAATATAAATTGATATTTTTAGAGGTAGTGATAATGTGTGTAATTGTAAAATTTTCTTTTACTAGGTCCCAGCTATGCAGTGGATACTGCCTGCTCATCTAGCATGATGTGCTTAGATCAGGCTTTGCACAGCATTCGTATGGGTATTATTGATGCAGCTATAGTTGCTGGTAGCAATTTGTGTCTGAAACCAAACACTTCTCTGCAATTTGTGCGAATGGGAATGACATCACCAGACGGGGCATGCAAAACATTTGATGCTTCTGGTAATTGCTTATATTTAATATTTAAAATTGGTGCTTTTTTATTTTTAAAACTCCTAATACAAAGATAATTTTGAAGTCTGATGGATTTTTTAGTGTCTGTAATAACATAAACTTTTGTTTCAGGGGATGGTTATTGTCGTAGTGAAGCTGTTATGGCTATTTATCTTCAAAAAACATCTGACTGCAAACGTATCTATGCCACCGTTGTTCATTCAAAGTCCAATTCTGATGGTTACAAGGAACAAGGTAACCTTTCAATATGGTGTTAACAAATGAAAGGGTGTCCCATAACAAGGATACTTAAATTGTATTTATTTAACCTTGGTTATGTCTATATTTTAAATTCATCCTATCCTCCATAGATGTTTTAAATTCTTTAAGAAACTTGGCAATCTTTGAAACAGTTTATAAGGATGCTTTGCATATTATTTCAGGAATCACATTCCCTTCTGGTATTATGCAAAAGCAGTTGATTGATGAAGTATATCATGAAATAGGTGTTAACCCTGTAGATGTAAGTAGAATACAGTACTTAAACTTACTTTCTTTATAAAATTAAATTTGATAATTCACTTTCCGCTTGTGTAGATTTACCTTTTGGGCATATACTTTATTTCTGCTGTTTCATAGGTGACATATGTTGAAGCCCATGGTACTGGCACAAAGGTTGGTGACCCACAAGAAACAAATTCAATAGTGGATGTGTTCTGTAAGGGAAGAAAAGCCCCCCTTCTGATTGGTTCAACTAAATCAAATATGGGTCATCCTGAGGCAGCTTCTGGTAAGCTAAAGGTTAAAATTAATAACTACTGATTTTGCATATCTGAAAATTTAATGGTGAACATTCAATAATTTTTTAAAAGGGTGCTATTATTAGTGACACACATACATATCTAAAAAACCCAATAAATGGCAGAAAGGTAATTAGAATTCAGAGTGATGCATTTAAAAGTTTCCAAAAAGTTAGTAATTGTGCTAAGATTAAAATTGACTTGACATCTTATCACATATTTTTGTATTGGTCATCACATAACTTTCTATGTATTAGATGGTTAACAAGAATCTTTCATCAGATAACTACTCTTTGTATTGAAGTGTTAACTGATATCTGTGTTTATGGATAATGCATTTAAAAAGTGTGCCAAATACCAATTGGACATGTTTACAAAATCTAACTTTATTTTATTATGGATTCATTTCCATTAGTTTGGTACCTAAAATTGCTTAAAGTATCCAGTAGGAACCAACATTTAATGACCATTATTTTTAAATTTATGTGTGTGTATATCATTAGAATTTACAGCTATCTTCCTTTTTTACTCTGACAAAAAAAATGTGTTTTCCGACCACATCCTTCATTGAAAAAACATTTGTCCACAGGTCTTTCATCCATTGCAAAGATTTTAATTGCTTATGAAGAAAGAGTGATACCTCCAAATCTTCATTTCAAGAATCCAAATCCAGAGATTCCTGGACTGAGTGATGGTAGTTTACAAGTTGTGACTGAATGTACCCGTTGGAATGGCGGCTATGTTGCCATGAACTCATTTGGCTTCGGTGGATCAAATGTTCATGCTTTATACAGGTAAGTTTCATTTGTTAGTTGTAGTCATCATATGTTGAGAATGTTTTTTTTAAAAATAATGTGCTTTATTTATACATTTTCCCCTGTAATCTTATAGCTATCATTACAATTTACTAGATCTCATGATAAAGAGCTGCTGGAGCCACATATTGCCAGTGAGAAACCTAGACTGTTTACATGCAATGCACGTACCGAGGCAGGTGTGAAAGCTGTGTTAACAGAGGCCAAGAAAAATGCAAAAAGTGTAGAATTTCAAGCATTGATCCAAGAATCTTCTAACATGTCCACAAGTCAAATGCCATACAGGGGCTACACTGTTCTTAATGCTTCAGCGGATTTAGAGGAAATCCAGGTATATATTTTCTTCATTACATTCTATATTTGTATATTTTGTTAACTAATTTGGATTTTTGTTTAAGTGACTACCAATTTTTAATTACCTTTATCATGTTTATCTTTTTTCTGCTTGTTAGAAATGCTCTCCAGAACCAAGGCCTGTTTGGTTTGTGTTTACTGGCATGGGGACACAGTGGCATGGTATGGGACGTAAGATGATGGAACTTGACATTTTCAGGGAATCTATTCAGAGATCCACTCAGATCCTCAGCAGATATGATATCAATCTTTATGACCTCATTATGAATGGAGATGAAAGCACTTTCGAGAAAACTATTCCATCTTTCATTGGCATAGCATCAATTCAGGTATATACTTTTAATGGGAAATTATTTTTAACTTATTTGTTTTCAATTTAAATAAAATAAAACACATTTATTTGTAACATATGGAAAGTAACTTTAAATTATTTTTTTCTCTATATATACATATATAGGTTGCTCTTGTTGATTTGCTGTTGGCACTTGATATCAGACCAGATGGTATCGTTGGACATTCTGTGGGAGAACTGGGTTGTGCCTATGCTGATGGTTCTCTAACCGCTGAAGAAACTGTACTAGCAGCTTATTGGAGAGGTCGCTGTATATCTGAGGCCAATCTGCCAGCAGGAAAAATGGCAGCTGTTGGTAGGTTTCTTTTCTTCTGATATATTTTCATCTCAAGAGTCTAGTTCAATAAGGCAAAGACTGAAGAAAATGTAAAAACCGGTTTTTATAGTAAGAAAAGCATTTACTTTTTGGGGCTGGTAATGATCCATTAAAGGTATGATAAGATAAGATTCTTTTATAGATCCAAATAAATAGAAATGTGTGTTGATTGCACAGTACATATTTATTTTGACACATACATTTTAACACCACTTTCACTATATGTTTGTCGTAAAAGTTTGGTTTGTGTCCATATGTTTTTTTTTATTTGTGTATATGCCCCACCCCTAAATTTTGTTTAAAACCTTTTATTTCAATTTTTATAATGATATAAAAGAAAATCAGACACTTTTTAAAACTATTTTTCATTACAATGTTAACCAATAGAATGTCCCCTTGAATCATCAGTGTGCCTAACTAGTGAAGACTGATTTTCTCCCCCATGATCAAGTTGTGCCCACTCAGTTAACTAAAGGGTTAATTTCAATGTGTGCTGTGTAATATCTTTTTGTTACAAAGTTTCAATCATTTCTAGAAAGTTAACTATATGATTCTTCCACCAGGTCTGTCATGGGAAGAATGTAAAAAATTGTGTCCACCTGGTGTTGTTCCTGCTTGTCACAATTCAGTAGATACTGTGACCATTTCTGGACCATTTGATGTCACCACAAAATTCATTGAAGACCTTAAGGCCCAGGGAATATTTGCTCGTGATGTGAATTCATCAAATGTAGCTTACCACTCCTATTACATGAATGAAATTGCTCCACAGTTAAAATCTGCGCTAGAGAAGGTTAGAAAATTTATTCCCTACATCATTTCAATTATTTTAAATATGTATTTTTTTTTCTCACTGATTCAAAATGGCATTGTTGGCTATTACTAAACAGCTATATTTATTAATTAAAAAAATTCCTACAGGTTATCAAGCCCAAGAAAAGATCTCCTAAGTGGATTAGTACATCAGTTCCTGAAGCTCGTTGGGGAGAAGAATTAGCCAAATACTCATCAGCTGACTATCATGTCAACAATTTGGTCAGTGCTGTGCTCTTTCAGGAGGGTCTTCAAAAGGTTCCAAGCAATGCCATAGCTATTGAGATTGCACCACATTGTCTGTTGCAAGCTATTCTGAAACGTTCACTCAGCACTGAAGCAGTATTTGTTGGCCTCATGAAGCGTTTCCATGAAAACAATATTGAGTACTTCTTTTCCAGCTTAGGAAAGTAAGAAGTAAATTGCATTAGACAAATTATATTATTTTTTAAAGACCTAGTGTACCTACAATATATGGATTTTTTCTCTCATAAAATCTTTTAGGAATTGATTTTCTCATTATGTAGCTTAAAACTGTATTTAATGTTGAAAACATTTATATGTTGGCAGATGCTTTGCAAATGGCTTGAATCTCAGTCCTTTAAAAGCTTACCCTCCCGTGCAGTATCCTGTTCCAAGGGGTACACCTATGGTTTCACCTGTAATTTCCAAGATTTGGGATCACTCAACAGTCTGGAGTGTCCCGACTGAAGAAGATTATGCTTTTACCAAAGGTGGTGCATCATCTGATGCTGTCTTTGAGATTGATGCCTCAGAGGAATCTCCTGATCATTATTTGGTAAATTGAAATTTTTGCATTTCTAAATATTTATTAAATGTACATAGCATACTTTGCTTTATAATTTTGACAGAAATCAAGATGATGAAAGAACTGATTTTTATTTTTTTACCTTTCTTTGTTTTCAAACAATTTAGGTTGGTCACAAAATTGATGGCCGTGTTCTATACCCAGCTACAGGCTATCTTGTCCTTGCCTGGCGAGCCTTAGCCAGATTAAAGGGTCAACTTTATGAACAAATGCCTGTTGTGTTCCAGGATGTAACTATACATCGTGCTACAGTTCTCCCATCAGCGGGTAAGTTTATAATTTAAGTTTTTGGCATGAAAGAGCCATTAGTAATTAGTAAATTTAGTAGAGAGCTACTATGTGTGCTTGCAACTTTTAGGTAACTTGGAAATTGAAATTCAGAAAATCTGGCTAATAGTTATTAGGATTTTCAGTTGTCGAGATTTCTTTTTTTACCCAGCTATTTTCAATGCATTATAAAATTTTGAATTAGTTCAAATTTGAAAGTGGTGTAGTAGTGTTAAAAATGTTTATTTACATTAAAGGTTGCTTATATTTTCTTGAGTAATTTTTTGTTTCCCAAACCCAGGCACAGTTACCTTGAGTGTTAGCATTATGCCTGCCACTGGTAAATTTGAAATCTGTGAGAATGATGCCCAAGTTGTCAGTGGCATTATATATACCCCAGAAGGACAATTCTTAGACAGAGATCAATACTTAAATGTCCAGAATATCACTAACAAGAAAGAGACCACTGATTTTGAACTGACTCGAGAGGAGGTTTATAAAGAGCTGAGATTGAGAGGTTATGATTATGGTCCCACCTTTCAAGGCATTGCCAAGGCCAGTCAGACAGGTACTTATCAAATGGAGTTGCTGTTGGCTATTTTAAATATTTTTTTAGCTAGATGAATTAGTTGCTATATTCAATATTTTAGGGATTACTGTACGTTATTTATTACTTTTAGGTTCCACTGGTGAACTTGTATGGAATGGCTGCTGGATCTCTTTCATGGATACAATGCTTCAAATTCAGGTGCTATCCATGCCAGGTCGCTCTCTTCGCTTGCCTACGCGTATTAAGTTTGTTAAAGTGGATCCCAAGTCTCATCCAGCTCAACCAGCTGAAGGAGAGACTGCCTCAAGTAAGTCAACTTGCCAATATGAAAATATTCGATGGTAGGGAAGTGTATTAATTTAAAACCTCATTGTTCCCTCATGGTATTTTGTGTACAATGTTTTTTGAGGGTCTTTGTCATGGCATTTAAAATTCCTCTTAAGTGCCACACAGGTTGTTGAATAGAGCTTGTATTTGGTCATCATGAAATGTTTTTATTGTTAACATGTTTATTTGGTATTCAACAGATATTCCAGTATATATCGACAGCACTTTGGATATAACTCTGTGTGGTGGAGTTGAAATCAAGGGACTTCATGCCACTGTTGCCCCAAAGAGAGGTCTACAAATAGCACCTACTATTGAAGAATATCGCTTTGTCCCATATGCAGAAAGGGTGAACTTTCCAGCATCACTTGAGAATTACACAAAACACTGCCTCAACTATGTACTAGAAAATCTTAAAAGGGTGATCACTGATGATTCTAATGATGCATTGCTGAATAAAGATCTTCTTAATGATGTGGTTTCAAACAACAAACCCTCTGATCAATCAAATCTTCAGGATTTTATTTCAGTACCTAATTCTGGCTTAGCTCAGGTTTTAAACAAAATTTTTAACCTACCATCTGCAAATTTGAAGGAAAATGTGCGAAATATTTTGCAATCTTTCCAATCCGAATTATCTTCTGACAGGCTTTTATCTAGCCTTAACAGTCAAGACATTCTTAAGCCTTGCATTGACATTGTTATTGACAACACCCCAGTAAGCAAGCTTTCTATCTTTGAGGCTGGTGCAGCTCATAGCACCTTGTACCGTAAACTGATCCCTATGATTAAAACACAGCCAACATTAAATGTTGCGTACACTGCAGCAGACAAATCCCCTCTAGACAAAGATGTTAAAAGCTTTGGTGTTAAATCCTCTCAGTGGGACCCAAGCACATCCAAGTCTGTTCCTCCTGGACAAGTCCATCTGCTGGTCCTTAAGAATGTTCTTCACAAACAAGCAGATATCAACACCACTTTTGAAACTGTCTCTGGAATGGTTTCTCCTGATGGTTTTATATTGGTAGAAGAGGTCACCAAAAATTTTCCTCTTTATTTAGCCCTTGAAGCTATAGCAGAAAAACTTTCAGACAATACATCAGCTGATGTTTGTCGTGTGTGTGGCTGCTACCTGTCAGAGGGTTCATGGGTGGAGATTTTCTCAAGACATGGCTATGAGGTCATCTACAGAAAGTCAGACAATCTCCTATCTACAATATTTCTCCTAAGAAAGAAAAAACAGATAGTGTCTACTCCAGTACTGATTTCTATTGATGACCTGCAGTGCTCTTGGCTGGATGATCTAAAATCTAAAATGAAAGAACTGGAGAATGCATCTGAAGATACAAGACTTTGGCTTCTTGCTACAAAAGAAATCAATGGTCTCATGGGTTTTGTCAACTGTTTAAAACTAGAGGCAGGTGGGGAAAAGGTCAGAAGCATTTTTGTCAGTAATCTGAAATCATCATCAAGCAAACCTGATATTAATGTGAAAAGCCCAGAATTTATCAACCTGGCCCAGAAAGACCTCGTTGTTAATGTATACAGAGATGGCCAATGGGGATGCTTCAAACATGTACCTATACCTGATGGTAAGTGTGGAAAGAGGTTGGCGGCTATTTTTCATAAATCTATATTTAGTGTTTGTTGGATAGTAGTGATGATAGCAAAATGAGTAGGTATCTGGTTTTATTCATTAAAAACAAAAATCAATAAATGTCTATTTTACACTAAAATAGGTCTAATTTCTTATGTTTTAAAATCTTGCAGATGAGTCATCCCGGTTAAAGCCAGTACAATATGCCTATGTTAATGTATTGACTAGAGGTGACCTCTCCAGTCTCAAATGGATTGAATCCCCGTTAAAGTTCTTCCAACAAAATGGACAAGACACAGAGCTTTGTAGTGTTTACTACACATCATTAAATTTCCGTGATGTCATGCTGGCATCTGGTAAATTGCCACCTGATGCTATTCCTGGAGATATGGCTACACAAGATTGCATCCTTGGTATGGAATTCTCAGGCAGAGACAGTAAAGGAAAGAGGATAATGGGCATTTTGCCAGCCAAGGTTTGTTTTGGGGAAAATATAGTTTCATATTTGATGCTTTATACTTTCACTTATAATCACTATCAAACTGCCTTCCATTTTACATTATTCACTAAAAATGATCCAATAGGGTTTGGCCACCTCAGTAGATACAGCTAAGCGGTTCTTGTGGGATATTCCTGACAATTGGACAATGGAAGCAGCTGCCACTGTACCTGTGGTCTATTGTACAGCATATTACGCTTTAGTAACTAGAGGAAGGATCAGGAATGGAGAAAAAGTTCTTATTCATTCAGGCAGTGGTGGTGTTGGACAAGTAAGTAATTTTCTTACTCAGCATTTAACTCTTGATCCAAGTTTTTAAATTCAGATTATATCTGCATTTTGACAGGTGATTTGTGATATTAAATTAAATATAAGTTTTACCTTACATTTAAAGAATGTCAAAGGTCATAGTCACTGGAAGACAAAATAAGAATGAAATAGGATTGCACCAATAAGCAGATTAACCAATTACTAATTAATTGGCTAGTACTGATAAATATCTTATGTAATGCTTGGGAACTACCTATTGTGATAATTTATGTCCAGATATGTCTTAATGTATGCTTAAAACTGTCTTGTAATGAGGTGCAGTAAAGTTTTGAAAACAGTTTTTTTTGGGGTTGCGAGTTAAGAGAATTTAAGAACAGAGGAGACATCAGCTTTTAAATTATATAAATGCTTATATATTTTTTAAGCATTTCTTAACATTTTAGTTTATGTAGTAAGTCACATGATTATTTTCTAAGTTATTTAAAGGGTTAAATATTTTGAAAGATGGCTTTAGAAAATGTAATATTTTCAGCTCATTATAATATGTAAAAATGTGTTTTACTTTCAGGCAGCAATTTCTGTTGCTCTTAGTTATGGTTGTGAGGTATTTACAACTGTTGGATCAAATGAAAAGAAAGAATACCTGAAAAGTGTTTTCCCTCAACTTCAAGACAGGCACTTCAGCAATTCTAGAGATATCTCTTTTGAACATGACATTCTGAGAGAAACAAATGGAAAAGGTAAATTCAAATAGCCTTCATCGGTTTAACATCAAAAGATAGTACTAAAATAAATATACATTTTTAACTGACTGTTTTTTAGGTCTTACAATTTTAACATTAATTAATATTTCCTTTCTCAATATTTTCAGGAGTTGATCTTATTCTCAACTCTCTTGCCGAGGAAAAGTTGCAAGCCAGTATAAATTTATTGGCAAAACATGGCAGATTTTTGGAAATTGGAAAGTTTGATCTTTCAAACAACACACCAATAGGTTTGTCAAAAATTTCAAAATGCTTCAATGTGCCTATTCACTACGAATATACTAAAAAATGTAAATTTAAATCAGAGAATTCCTTTGATTTATTGTCTTTATTTCCCTATTTATATTCTGTTTTAACAAATTTCAGGATTGTCAATATTTTTGAGAAACATCACATTCAATGGCATTCTGTTGGATGCCCTCTTTGAAGAAGATACTGAGGAGTGGGAAAGTGTGGCTACAATGGTCAGAGAAGGCATGACCAGTGGTGTTGTCAGACCTCTTAAAGCCAGTGTCTTTAGCAAAGATGAAATAGAAGATGCCTTCCGCTTTATGGCACAAGGAAAGCACATTGGCAAAGTTGTTGTTCAGGTAAATACATTTTTGTCTATTGTAAAAACTATTTGTGTAATTAATGATAAAGATTCACAAAATAATTAATTTTTAGATATCAGCTTAAAAAATGATACCTAAGTAAATAATCTATCCTCATGTTTTAAAGGTGAGAAGTGAAGAGAAAGAAAAGGTGGCCACCCCTCCAAGTGTAACTATATCTGCTGTTGCCAGAACAACATGTGATCCATCAAAATCCTATATTATTACCGGAGGTCTTGGAGGATTTGGTCTTGAACTTGGTCAATGGCTTGTTGAGAGAGGGGCCAAAAAGCTTGTCCTTTCATCCAGGTGAGTTGTGCATCCATGATTGTAAAATATTGAATCTCTAAATTTCATTGATACATAGAAAGGTTAATCTTTTAAACACTTGTATTTTTAACAGATCTGGTATTAAAACTGGGTACCAATACCGGAAAGTTCAGTATTGGAAATCAGCTGGAGTTAATGTGGAAATTAGTAAACATGATGCTAAAACCATTGATGGGGCTAAATCACTTCTTCAAGATTCAATCAAATTGGGCCCTGTTGGAGGACTATTTAATCTGGCTATGGTGAGTAACTTTCTCCTACTTCATTGTGCAGAGAAACACTAAATAATTATTTTGTATCTCTTTCAATTGTCTTAAGAATTTATCATACCTATTGATACAAATTACTTTTGATTGCAGGTTCTAAATGATGGCCTCTTCGAAAATCAAACAAATGATATGTACCGCACTGTATGTGAACCCAAAATTCAAGGCACTATTAACTTGGACCAGACCACAAGAGATCTTTGCAAGGACTCATTGGACTGGTTCATTGTGTTCTCTTCAGTCAGTTGTGGAAGAGGCAATCTTGGGCAAACTAATTATGGTTTTGCCAATTCAGTCATGGAAAGAATTTGTGAAAAAAGAAAAGCTGAAGGTTTTCCAGGTGAGCATATAGCTTCAAGTTCAGACACTACCTTAACTTTCACTTCATAAGTAGTTTTTGCCAAAAATTTAAGTATAACTCAGGGTTTCAAAGCATGTTAGGAAAATGGGAAATAATGTTACATGCAGTGAAACTAATGATAGTAAAATTTAATTTAATTATACAAATAAATACTTTACAAATAGAAATTGTACAGAACCAAAGAAAAATGTAGCAACTTACAGCAAGTGAAAAAGCTGCAAAATCCTCAATACACAAATATTAAGAAACCTGGCAGGCTTTATATAGGATTAAATCTGAATGTTCGCATAAAGAAAATCTAGAAATTGTCACCTAATGCAATTTTTGAGAACAAATAGAGCGCATTCGAATATAAACAACCTTTTCTCATCCTAGAAAAGGATGGGGAGGCAGACCTGTTTACTCTTAAGATTTTGGCGTACAATGTACGATTTTGAGGTGTAAACATTATATATACTGTATGTTTATTTTTTACTATAAATATAAGGTATTGAACGATTTTGTGATGATATGTACGATTTTAAGGATTTGAGGGTAAACAGGTCTGGGCAGGGAAGAAGAGACAAAACACATTTACATTGTGATGTCAATATCAAGGTCATTACTAGCAGACAAGTTGTGGTGTCTAATAATAGCGCTGTTGAAGTTTACAAATAAACCAATCCCTACTCTATAACCAGCTAAATATAACAGTCCCATTTGCCATAGGAATTTTTTTTGTCTTTAGTTGGGGAAAAAGTAGGGAATTTTGTTTTAAAAAAGAATGCAAACTCTAACTAATTTACATAGGATGTTTATTTCATTACAACTGTCATAGTCATTCTTTTCAATGATGTAGCTGTTCATATTTTTGAAAAGATTAATTTTACTGATTGTAGCATGAAAAGTTTTAAATGCTTTTAAATGTGTTATTACATTTTTTTTGTAGTAGAACATGTGTAACTAATTTGGTATTAAACACATTTTAGATATTTTTAATATAAAATTAAAAATTTATTTTTGAGCCCTATCTTCTTAAAAAAAAATTCCATTGCCATTTTAATATGACTATGGATAAAAGTATAAAGGAATAAATATTCATTGACATTGTTAATATGATCCTTTTTTTATTTATTCAGGTCTTGCTATTCAGTGGGGCGCCATTGGGGATGTCGGTGTTATTGCAGAAAGTATGGGAGGTAACGATATTGTGGTCGGTGGAACTCTTCCTCAAAGGATGGCCTCCTGTCTCAATGCCCTTGATCAATTCTTAAACCAAGATTACACAGTTGTCTCAAGTTTTGTCGCTGCTCAAAAGGACACTGTAAAGAAAGAAGGGGGCTCAGCCAGACCTAATCTTGTGGATTCCATTGCCAGAATTCTAGGTAGATAAACATATTCTATATTCAGCTTGGTCTTAGACACTTAAGTGTGACACACAAATATCTGTTAGCTTTGTTTATGCTCTCGTTTTAGTTCGTATAGCCCTGTAAAGCATTGATATCTTTATTACCCTCAGGTGTGAAAGATGTTTCTAACGTTGATCCTGACACAAGTCTAGCTGACCTTGGTCTTGATTCTTTAATGGGTGTTGAAATAAAACAGTTACTCGAAAGAGATTTTGAAGTATCTCTTAGCACAAGAGAAATAAGAATGCTGAATTTGAAAAAGATTCAAGATATGAGTAAGTTTTGTTTTAACTATTTAAATTGCCCCTTTTATTCTCATAAATTTAGTGCTTGCAACCTCCTCAAATCTAACTTATGACCAATAGCAGCTTTTGAGCTGATAAGTATATTTATGGGGAGAAAACTTCTGCTTAAGTTCATTAGCTTTAATAAACTGAGGTTGCCATTTAAATACATTTGTGAGAAGTTTGTTTACAGATATACCCTTTCTTAAATCGATGAGAAAGGTGAGGAGATCAAATATTTATACCCCTTCTTTAATGTTTTTGTAGATGGTGCAGAAGAGGAATGTGAAGTTACAGAATCAGAAGCTACAGAATCTGCAACCGACATCACTGCACCAGCAACACAAGAGGAATCAGGGGTTGCCATTCGATTTGATTTTACACAGATGATGCCCAAAAATCCAATCCTTCATATTAATGGCATTCAGAATGGTCTCAAGCCACTATTCATTGTGCACCCCATAGAAGGTAAATTTCAGATTTCAACAGTATACATTTTCTTTGTATATTATGTAATTGAGTCACAAGGCTTGTACTGAAATCATTTCATGCTCTAGATTCAGGATAACATTACTTAATTGCAGTATTAATCAAGCAGGTAAAAAGTGTGTAAGCTATGTCTTTGAATGAAGTTGCTCATAAAATAATTTCCTTTACTATTGCAGGTAGCGTTGTTGCACTGGCTACCTTGGCAAAGAGTCTACCATGTCCTGTGTATGGTCTTCAAATTACAGATAAAGCACCACTATCATCAGTTGAAGCTTTGGCAGGATATTATTTACAGGTATATTTTAAAGACTTTACAAAGGTCGTTTTTAATTAAATGGAGCCCATCATAACTCATACATTTTAAAGGTTGATAGATTTTTTAAAAGTTTTTGTTTCTACATGTAGCAATGTAAATTAAATGCTAAAAAACAATTAAACATTTAAATGGATCTTTATTTATTTTAGGAAGTGAACAAAATAGACCCCACTGGTCCATACAGAATTGCAGGGTATTCATTTGGAGCTGTTGTGGCATTGGAAATGGCCAATCAGTTAAGAAAACTGTACCCAAAGCGTGCTGATGTTGTTCAGTCCTTAACACTTCTAGATGGCTCACATAGATTTGTAGAAATGTATACATCGGTATATCGTAAAGCTATGAAAATAAGTAATGTTGCAGAGGAGCAGGCAGCAAGTCTGGTGGCTTTTATTCGTCTATTTGTGGGATTTGATGAAGTCCAGGTGAGTCTTCTTAATGTCAAGGAGTTAACTTTGTATCACTGACCATACATTCCAAGGGATATGGTTTACCCCTCCTTTTTTCATTTTTGACATATTCCAGTTTGTGTGGCTGTACACTGTTCTATACAGATTTTCACTTGAGTTAGTAAAAATAATAAAATTGCACATGCTCAGAAATGGGGGCTACCATCTAAACCTTTATTTCTTACAAGATCTTTAGCATTGGTTATTGGTTAATATAAAACAGTGAACTCTACATGCTTTGAATTTTTCTTTTTTTTCTTGAGATTACTGGTGATCTTACAAAAGAGTCAATTAATTTTAAAATCCATGTCTAAAGTGTCTATATTATAATTAAGTTTGTAGGGACATGCATGAGGATTGCATAAATGTTTTCAACATTTTGAAGTTTTGAGGAAGAAAAAAAAGCATAATTTTTAAATGCGTGAAATAGTTCAGTTGCAAATATATTTTTTCATAATTTATTTTTTTTTTTTTTTTTTTTTTTTTTTTTTTTTTTTTTTTTTTTTGAGAAAGAAAATTCAATTTATGTCATATGAAGAAATCAAAACATTTTATGAGCATTTGACCAAAGTTTAAAAGATTTTGTGTGTGTGAAAAAGGGGATATAAAGGGGAAATAAAACATAAAATTCACCACCCTCCACAAAGTATTCACAAATATGAAAAGTTATTATTTTAGCTGTTTAAATTATTTACAAACAAGGAAACATTTAGGAAATTTTAACCTCATGGCTCTCTAGTTTTAATTAAACCAAGTTAAGTGTCACATGTGCTACTTTTGAATGTGGATTAAAAAAAAAAATTGTATTTTTAATTTGTAGCACACTTAACAATATCTTTTTTAAACCTGTGCATTCAGGAACTATTTGATGCACTATATTGTAGTTTGTGTTATTTACATTTGAGGCACTTGGAACATTATCATTTTTAATAAGTTTCTCTGTGAATTCAATTTGGAGTTAGTTATAACTAACTAGATAGCTTAAGTTCATCTATGTCAAGGTTTTCTTTTCTGGGCTTCCGAAGAGACTAGCTGGCAATATCAATAAAATGGAAAAAGGGGTTATCCAGTGTTAGGGGGATAAGGGGGATATAAAAGCATCCGTTTGTTAACTGATCAACACCACACATAAATGAATTGTATAATTTATTTGTCTCGTCTAAATACACCATCCCCTTTTGTTCTATTGTTTACATAAAAAATCCATTTGGGGTCATTGAATAGTTACCATGTCTAATTAATAGCTCTTTTCCTCTATATATCACCTTTGAGTTTTATACACGTTTTTATGATAAACTCAGTCGGGCAAGAAATTCACGTTGCAGAGTTTTTCCTTATTGTCTGTTTCAATTTTAAAAACTTTGAAGAAGGTCATAATTTTAATAAATCTGTTTTTGGGTATAAAAAGCATAAGTCCGAAATCCATGGTACAGTGTTGAAGTTGACTACTATTTTTGAACACTGGAGACCTGTAAAGTTGCCATGTACATTCGAGATGCAAGAAATGTGTAAATCTTCTGTTGAAATTTTGGTGATGGAAGGTTTAGAAGGTCCATGGTAGAGGCATAGCTGGTTCAGTTGGTAGTAAAACATAATTATAAATCCATTTGTGTAATTCTTTACAAGATTAAGATTTTTAGTTGACAACATTTATAGCTGACATCATTGTATTATATCTTCCTTTTTAATGAAAATTTTGAAATCTTTGCTGACCTTGCTTCACAGTAATGCAGGCTGAGCTAGTCTTGAGGTGAACAAAATAGAAACTGATAACAAGAACAGACTTAATGGTGAAACACTATCAGTTTCAATTTTTACACAGTAGAATAAACACTGACATGGATATTTGGGATTTCAAGCAATTCAGACATAAGGACAAACATTGCATTTATTTAAAACAGTGATAATTAATTGAAAAAAGAAATACAAATTATAAATAATTATTTTGGTTTAGTAATATATGTGTACAAATGTAAAAGTTTTGTTCCCACCATTTTCAATGCTAGTCATTTTTAAAATGATAAAGAACTATGGTAACAATTTCACTATCTAATATTCAACATTTCAGGTTTACCAACAAATGGCTAATGCTAAAGAATTAGCTGACAGAATCCAAATAACAGTGGATATTTTAATGAAAACAGGAAAATTCAGCTCAAGAGAAGACCTGGAGACATTAGCAAAAGCTTTTTATTCTATGTTAACGATAAGTGAGAAATACAAGCCTCAAACATACACAGGTGACATCACCCTTATCAGAGCAGGACAAAACAGTGTCAACTCAAGTAGTATTGGTTCTGACTATGACTTAGGACAGGTAAGACTAAGACTGTAGTTTTACTGTATCCATATTTATCCATGTATGTTTTACATAAAATATTTCTTTTTATTTGGATAAGTAAAAGAATCTAAGGTTAAACATAATGTTAAGAGTCCAATAATAATAATAGATGTCGTAATCATTAAAAGAAATGTTAATAGTATATTAAATATGACAATAAGTTGTTGGTTTAAAAAAAAAATTAATTTTAATCCTCAGTATTTAATTTATTCCATTCACATTTCAGGTGTGCAGTGGAACAGTAAATGTAAGAGTTGTAGATGGGGACCATGAGTCTTTTATCCTAGGTGAAAGAGCAAAAGGAGTAGCTGAAATTATGATTCCATTGCTCTCATAGTACCCAGCCAATATGCCCCACATGGAGTGGAAACCTCAAGATACAATGACTTCCAGTAGTACCGAAAATTAAGTATTGTCAGGCAAACCGTTTAAAATAGAAATTTGAAAGCCTTTTCATTTTCTTCATTGAGGCTTTATAACTATTTAAAGGGTAATTTTTTAAAAAGTTATGTGACATAAAACTGAGATGTTAACCATTACATGCTTCCTGAAGCATTGTTGAATCATCCTAAGTGTACAGACAATTCTGGTGTATGCTTCCTTGCAGAATGTGGAAATCCCCAAATTCTTTTTTTTTTGCAGAGATTCATATAAAAACTTTCCTTCGTATTGACTTTACCAGAATTCCCTCCACACAGATTTTTTATGGCAAATTTGATCTGAGTTTTGTCTTAAAATTACAATTTTTATATAGTAACTATTGCATTCATTTTCAACGCATTTGTCTTCTCTGTTAGTATGTATAAAATAATTGAAGTGAATGGGTGAATATTAAGAAGCAACGAGCAAATGTTTTTCTGATGTCAAATAACCTTTTGTAAATAGATCAAAATCAATGTAGTTGAAGTGTTGTGACTATTTAAGTTGTTTTTCAATATTTTCTACAATATAATAATGCCCATCTTTGCATTTGAAATATGACTTTTTAAATATATATATTATTTATATATTAGATATGTCTGCATTGATATTATCTTGTTTTTTTTTTTAAATTGTTCTAATTTATATTGGATATTTCATATAAATTTACTGTTATAAAGTAAATACTCGTAAAATTTTCAAATCTCCATATTTTGACATGCCTAGTCATGAATAATAACATATAAACATACAATAAGTGTTTTTGTACAAACACTAATAATGTGAAGAATATTGTAATTTGAAAGCATCATTTCCTTTCCAGTTCTCACTGCCATTAATTAGAAATTACCACCAAATGGCTGAATAGATGGCCATTGGTTAAAATAGCTGCTGAACATCTGGTGTTGCTTTCAATGGACTAATCATCTCTACCTTACTAGTTACCAGAAATACCCTGCTTTAAATTTTACTATTTTGATGTGGGGATAAGAATATCAATGATATATTGTTTCCAATAATGTTTATTTTTCATAGCTGATCAGCATTATCTTTTTTTTAATATTATGTTGAAATCCATTCATTAATTAAACAAAAAAATATATCTGAGTGCTTGTTTAAAGGATTATATTTGTAAATTTCGTGATTTTGGTTATTCTTGGAGAGGCAAGAAGTTAGCATCAATTGTTTGATTGTAATTTGATTGTTGAAAAATTCTTGTACATGCAAAAAAAATGGAACTGCTATAATAATTTTTTTACATTAATTTTTTTACCTGGAAAAAATGTTAGGATAAGTGGTGTAATAAATTTGTCTTGTCCTCATGAAAAAAACTGCAGCACTTTAAATGCAGATTAAGTTTTTTAAACCAAATTTTTCTGTTAGTGAGAAAGAAATGTTTTTGTTGGTACCTGAAATATATATAGTTTATGATTGATATTGATAAAAAAAAAGTACACTTGACAGTTATCTTAAAATTATGTGTGCTAATTAACTATTTTTAACTAATGCATTTTCTGTTCTTACAGTATCAATTACAAATATGCATTTTCAATTTTACACTTTGTAAAATGCTCAGATTGACAGTTCCCATTAAAACATTCACTGTTGTGGTAACATGTTCAGAGTTTTTCCTATGACTGAATAGGAATATACACATTTTGTCTTTTTGTAATTTATAAAAGAATGTAGAATTTTTCAGAAGATTTTTTTCTTCAATGTTTTATTTCTTAAAATAATTTCTGTATGTTTTGTTCATTTTGAAAGTGTTGTTTGTCACCTATTCATTATGAAACAACACCAATGTTCATGGAACAATAAAAATATTTCAAAATATCTTGCATTTATTCTTTGCCAATGACTATTCCCTTCATTTTATATTCATATTGTCCCTTTTTTTTGCACTATAGACATCATTGAAAGTAGAGATGGATATTTTTTTTTTATGGTTATATCATCTTGGCAAAATCATTTGGAATTTAGTCCAATTCAAATAATTATAAAAATAGATATAGCAATTCTAAATTCCTATCAAGATCTCAGAGAAGGGTGTGCTGGAACTTCTTAAAACCATTAACCCCTTCAAGGCATGTGGTCCTGACAACATCAAGCCACGAGTGCTAAAAGAATTGGCCGAAGAAATCGCTCCTGCATTAACAATCCTTTTCCAATCGTCGCTATTCACAGGCAAAGTTCCAACTGACTGGAGAACAGCGTATGTCACTCCGATCTACAAAAAAGGAGAACATTACGACCCAGCCAATTACCGCCCTGTATCCCTCACTAGCGTAGTATGTAAACTATTGGAACACATAATCGTAAGCGCGGTCATGAATCACCTGGAGAGAAATAATATACTCAATGACTGTCAGCATGGCTTTCGAGTCAACAGATCATGCGAGACCCAACTCCTTGAATTTGCTGAAGAGTTGACGACCAACTTGGAGAACAGCAAGCAGACTGATGTGCTTGTGCTGGACTTTTCAAAAGCGTTTGACCGTGTCAACCATAGCTTGCTATTGCACAAACTGCATAGATATGGGATCCAAGGCACTACCAAAACATGGATCTCTAGCTTCCTCAGCGACCGATGCCAGGCAGTAGTGGTAGATGGCAAAACCTCCTCCTTTGTCGGTGTTAAGTCAGGGGTCCCCCAGGGCTCAGTGCTAGGCCCTTGTTTGTTCCTAGCATATATCAATGATCTGCCCGAGAAGCTGACCTCTCAAGCAAGACTGTTCGCAGACGACACGGCGGTATATAGGACAATCGTAAACAGCTCTGACCAGAGCCAGCTTCAACAAGACCTCAATCGGTTAGCTGAGTGGGAGATAAGCTGGGACATGGAATTTCATCCCGTCAAGTGCCAAACCCTGTCAGTCTCCAGAAGCAGGTTCCCTCTAAACCACTCTTACGAACTGCATGGCCATATTCTTGAGCCAGTTTCCTCCGTTAAGTACTTGGGTGTTACCATCCAAAGAGAGGTCCGCTGGGACGAGCACATTAACAGTGTGTGCAACCGGGCAAACAAGACCCTGGGGTTCCTAAGGCGCAATCTGAAGATCGGCAACTCAAGCGTGAAAGAAAAAGCCTATAAAGCCTTTGTCCGACCTATTTTAGAGTATGCTTCTACAGTCTGGGACCCATTTACCCAGAAAAGCATAGACAGGTTGGAGGCGGTCCAGCGACGGGCAGCACGCTTTGTCATGAACCGCTACAGAAGCACCTCGAGTGTTGGCAGCATGCTGGAAACACTGGGCTGGTCGACATTGGAAGAACGACGACGACTATCCAGGCTCACCATGTTGTACAAGATAACAAATGGACTGGTGCACTGCTCCGGAATCAAACAGAAACTCGTTAATCTTCCCCCCAGACTGCGACGAAGTCACGACAAACAGTTCCGGCTGGTAAAAACAAGAACGAAGTACAGAAGCTCCTCATTCCTGCCGAAGACAATAGGGGACTGGAACAAGCTTCCAAAAGCAACAGTTGAGGCGGCTACACTCGATACATTTGTGTCTATTGCCTCCTGTATTCCAACCCCCAGTTCATAACACCACTGCTGAGTCGCCCTTGCAACCAGTGAAGTATCCCATTGAAACCCATGGACAGTAACATCGCAAACCTCTCTGAAACATAGGAGCCAGAATGATCAATTCATTGATCGTGGGCCCTTAAAATAAAGAAGAAGAAGAAGAATACCATATTGTGAATTTCACATTCCCATTTCTTAAAGAGAAGTGTCTCCTGCCAAAAGAAAGGCAGTCCTATACCTTGATACTAATTCTCTACTGGATGGAATTTATAGTTTTTAATAGTAAAATTACAATTAAAAATTTTTCTTTTTTATTGTTTTTTTAGAAAGCTTTAACCTTTAAAAAAAATGTTCTGCTAATAGTACTAATATTATTGGCATACTAATATGACTAAGGCAAAAACAAGAAAGATTGGTCTTTATAACCAGACTATGGTATAGTGAACATGTAGGGAGAACAATTGTAGAGATTTTAATTTCAAAGATTTATATTTAAGGTCATGTTGGAATGACCTCAGGTCCATGATAAAGTCTTATGGTCAATTTGCCACTGCAACTTTGAATTATAAGTTATTAAATGCTTGCCATTAAAGTTTTTCTCACTATGATGAATGGTCCTGTGTTAGTTTAGCCAACATAGGAGCTCATACTCAGAGGTATTTATACATTTTCCATAAATATTGACACCTCACTAAAGAGGCATGGGTGGGCTCCTTGATTGATGGCATCAAAGGACTGAAGATGTAGTAGGATAAAAACAAGATCAGAGACCTGGAAGGATATTTTTCATCATTTGTATTTTATTCCACAACAATCTATTATAACAGGATTTAAAATGAAGTGTTCCCAAAATGCAGTGCAGCACTTAGCTTCCTTGGCTCTTTTGACTCTGATCACTATAAAAAATAAAGAGGCCTCTGCACCACAACTCATTGCAAAGTCAATGCCTCAATTTCACTCAGTGTGAGGGTGGGGTGTTGAGTTTTTTTGTTATATGCATCTCTTAAACCCAGCTTACAACACACCCCGCACCCCCCAATGTGTAATATATGTATGGTGGGCCATCAAAATCAGGTTCAGCCCCAGGCTCTGATTGGGCCACTGACTTCACCCTTTTGATTCCTCCTTCAGAAGTTGAGGTAAAAATAGCTACTTGACATTTTGCAATAGGATCTTTCTTCCTAACATAAATCTTTCTCCATCATCTTAAGCTTAAAATGCATCATACCAAAAAGACTATTTTTAAAGCAATACTTTAATACATAAGCTAAGAAAGTTTAAATTATTTACAATAAATAGCTTGGTACTTTTTACATATTTGACTTGTGTCTCCAGACCATATTTTATACAAGGGCCATTCACACAAGTTTACAACAATCATTTAATGTTAGCAGACGCAAGTTTACAATAATAATATTGAACAGAAGAGGAATTTGGACTGCCAAAAAGGGATGTTGAACAGTCCTGTCTCTTCACCAAAACATCAGGCTGTAGTCTGGATTAACTATATATGAATGTTTAATGTTACTCTTGACCCATCAGGGCTGCTACTATAGCTGTGTCTGCCCCTGCTGAGACAGAATCTTCGCTTTTCTGAAATGTAAAGGAAATAAAATGCTGACAAAAAACTTGAAAAATACCCAAAGTCTATAGCAAAGTCAATGGCACATCTTATCAGGGGAAATTTCCACTTAACTAACAAGGCTGATTTCTTGAATCTTGGGACAGCACTGTGGCTCCCTCTTTGAAGATAAGCAAAATTTCCAAGACTCTAGAAAATCCCACAAAAAAAGATAAATTTAGAAATAGATAACAAAGAGGTCCAAACTGTTGAGAACATCAAAAGACTTAAGGTGCTGACTGCCTCACTGCTGAGGTCTTCAAGCTGGTTGTAGATATCCTCCTATTGACTGACAGGGTAACAGATCTCTACACACAAAAATGAGAAGGGTCTCATTCCCCAATATCTTAGGGATTCTTTCATTATATACCTCTATAAGAACAAAGGAGACAAATCTCAGTGCTCAAGGTTCAGGTGCCTTACACTTGTGTCTGTTTCGGTAAAAATACATACTCAGGTCCTCCTAATCAGACCGATGTCATCTTAAGAAAAAGAAACTCTCCTAAGAGTCAAAGAGGCTTCAGGGCAAACCAAGGAACACCAGACATGATATTTGTTCTATGACAAATTAAAGAGAAGTGCAGGCAACAGCATATGGATTTGTATGCTAATTCATAAATCTTAGGTAATAAAAGGATTCTATACTTGTTTGCTGGTACTCCTCATTATCAAGTATACATCTTACTTCGCACTTTTTTCAAAATTAAGATTTCTCTCCATACATCTAGCCCTTGCCTCTGACTTTAGAGTAAATAAAGCTTGATTCCCCATTATTTAATTCTCGCCCATTTTTTAAAAATTCCCTAAGCACCTATCAATAAAACAATTTTTTTTTCACATAAACAAAATCATTATGTCAACACTTTGGCCCTCTCAAACACCATGTAAGCTGATCTTCTCAAACAGCATGTGAGTATCAGTGGCGTAGCGAGAGTGTTTTGCGCCCGGGGACAAGATTCGCACGGGGGACAAGATCCATTTTAGCGCCCCTTTTTCTTTTTTTCAACTCTCAAACCCATTATTTTCATCAATAAAATAATATCAAAGCACATTTTGGCGCCCCTAACTAGCTTGCGCCCGGGGACATCTGTCCCCCACTGCCCCCACCACGCTACGCCTCTGGTGAGTATACAACCAGAAGCTGCTTAGCACAGCGTCCCAACATCTTGAGCTGCAATCCTTTTTTGTATTTTTATAGATGCAAAGGGGCCCACACCTGTCCTATTTTATAGAAGCCAAGTGACCCACAACTATCCTATTTTATAGAAGCAAAGTGACCCACAACTATCCTATTTTATAGAAGCAAAGTGACCCACAACTATCCTATTTTATAGAAGCAAAGTGGCCAACAACTGTCCTATTTTATAGAAGCAAAGTGACCCAAGTGACGAAGAGGTTATGGGACAGCAAGGGATAGGCGAGATGAACGACAATGGTGAGAGGTTTGCGGACCTATGTGCCACAGCTGACCTGGTCATAGGGGGGAGCATTTTCCAGCACAAGAGGATTCATAACGCTACATGGGTCTCTCCGGACATGAGAACGATGAACCAAATAGACCATGTATGCATTTGTAAAAAATTCAGGTGATCTCTCCAAGACGTACGTGTTAAGAGGGGAGCTGATATTGCCTCAGATCATCATCTTCTTGTGGCCAGGATGAAATTAAAACTAAAGAGACATTATACCGAGCAAACAGCATACAGGACTCGGTATAATACCTCCCTCCTGAAGGACCAAGCCAAAAAGGAAGAATTCAGAATCTCACTATTCAATAAGTTCCAAGTCCTACAAGAAATACTTGAAGATGAAACCACCGAAGGAAAGTGGCAAAGCATGAAAGAAACAGTCCAGTCAACATGTCAAGAAGTGCTAGGAAACAGGAAAAAGGCACACAAAGAATGGATGACAGCAGGTACGCTGAATAAAATAGAAGAAAGGAAAAGAAAGAAATCAGAAGTGAATAACAGCCGCACCCGAGCACAGAAAAACAAGTCCCAGAAGGAGTATGCAGATGCAAATAAGGAAGTTAAGAAAAGCATCAAGAGGGACAAGAAGGAATTTGTTGATAAACTTGCTAAAGAAGCAGAGGATGCAGCTCACCAGGGGAACATGAGGGAACTGTTTGATACCATTAAGACGCTGTCAGGGAAATTTAGCAAGGTAGAGAGACCAGTGAAGGACAAAATGGGAAACACCATACCAAGTGAGGAGCAACAGAGAGGGAGATGGAAGGAGCACTTTGAAGAGCTCCTGAACAGGCCTGAACCAAGAAATCCACCAGATATCCAACCAGCCGATAATGACCTGCTAATTGACTGTAATAGTCCCACCAAAGAAGAGATTAGCAGGGCCATTAAACAACTCAGAAATGGAAAGGCTGCGGGACCTGATGGCATCCCAGCAGAGGCACTGAAGGCGGACCTGGAAACCAGTGTGGAAATGCTACACCCTCTGTTTATGAAGATATGGGAAGAGGAGCAAGTTCCTTCCGATTGGAAAGAGGGATACCTTATCAAGATCCCAAAGAAGGGAGACTTAAGCTCCTGCTCGAACTACAGAGGGATCACCCTGCTGTCCATCCCAGGAAAGGTTTTCAACCGTGTACTACTTAACAGGATGAAAAACGCTGTAGACCCTCTGTTGCGGGACGAACAAGCCGGCTTTCGCACCAACAGATCCTGCACGGACCAGATAGCGACACTGCGCATCATTCTAGAGCAGTCACTAGAGTGGAACTCGCCGCTCTATGTCAACTTTGTTGACTATGAAAAAGCCTTTGACAGTGTTGACAGGCAAACCCTGTGGAGATTGCTAAGGCATTACGGGGTGCCACAGAAGATTACTGATATAATCAGAAACATGTACGAAGGGATAAACTGCCGAGTTATCCATGGCCAGCAGTTGACAGATGCTTTCCAGGTGAAGACTGGTGTGAGACAAGGTTGCTTGCTGTCACCATTCCTCTTCCTGTTAGCCATTGACTGGGTGATGAAAACATCTACACAGCAGAAAAGAAATGGCATCCAATGGACCTTGTGGGATCAACTGGATGATCTTGACTTTGCTGATGATCTTGCACTTCTTGCACATACCCAACAACAGATGCAGGAGAAAACAAACATTGTCGCAGCCACTTCTGCTAGCATGGGTCTCAACATTCACAAAGGGAAGAGTAAAATCCTCAAGGTTAATGCCACCAGTACATCACCCATTATGCTTGAAGGAGAAGCCCTTGAGGAGGTGGACAGTTTTGTTTACCTTGGCAGCATGGTAGATAAACAAGGTGGTACAGATGCGGACGTCAAAATAAGGATAGGAAAAGCAAGAGCAGCCTTCCAACAACTCAAGAATGTTTGGGTCTCTAACAACTTAGGCAGCAAGTTAAAAGTAAGGATTTTTAACGCTATGGTAAAACCTGTGCTGCTATATGGAGCCGAGACATGGAGAACAACGGCCGTAAACCTGACCAGAATCCAGTCCTTCATCAACAACTGTCTAAGAAGGATTCTCAGAATTCACTGGCCAGACAAAATCAGCAACCAGGAACTGTGGCAGCGGACAAAACAGAAACCCATTGAGGAAGAGATTCTCCAGAAGCGGTGGAGGTGGATTGGTCATACACTAAGAAAACCTGCTTCTAACACAACAAAGCAAGCCCTGAAATGGAACCCACAGGGTAAGCGGAAAAGAGGCCGTCCAAGAAACATTTGGCGCCGAGAATTGGAGACAGACATCAAGAAAATTGGCCATGAATGGAAGATCCTGGAGAAGCTGGCCCAGGATAGAGATGCCTGGAGGTCTCTCGTAGGTGGCCTATGCCCTTGGAGGAACTGCAGACGCCGACGATGATCGGTGGATGCCCCTCATGGACGAGAAGGCTCAACAACAAAATGACCCATAACTATCCTATTTTATAGAAGCAAAGTGACCCACAGCTATCCTATTTTATAGAAGCAAAGTGACCCACAACTATCCTATTTTACAGAAGCAAAGTGACCCACAACTATCCTATTTTATAGAAGCAAAGTGACCCACAAATATTATATTTTAGAGAAGCAAAATTGTTATAAATTCAGTATTTTTTTTCGTTTACTGTTTCAGTTGGCAATCCCACAGAAAACCCTCCACGGCCTCATTTAAGGTAGGAATCTAAGAACAAGGTGGGCTAAACTTGAATTCATTAACAGGACAAAATGCAGTCCATCAATTATATCTTTTAAGGTTGTAATCCATGTTTTGAGAATCCTGATGTAAAGAACATCACCCACTCGTGCTGTGTTAATTTATGACAATGGTTCTTTTTGATAATTTGTAATTACATATGCAATTTCCTTTTGTTATAAATGTTAAGCATTTTAAGTTTGCAATATATGCATATCGATAATTGAAATAGTTTGTTTACAAATGACCTTATTTTATAGAAACTGTTATTTAAACGGAACATTTTTAATAGGGAGCATAGATGTTGAGTGTTTGTAAATGTATGTGTGATTTAAGGTTCTTTGACACACATTTTGCATGTTTATTCCTACTCACTCGTTGTTCCATAATGATTAGGTCACTCAAGCGCTTAACCTCCTTCTTGTTGGACAGGAGGGAGGTTTGTTTCCGAAGGAAATCCCTCATATTTGCTTGTTGTTCTCTCACCAAGGCCTGGGTCATTCTATGGTTACTTTGTCTCATGCTGGAACAAAGGTTTTTTATTTGGACTTGTTAATAAGTTTAATGTGCACAGAATAGATGACCAATAAAAGCAAAGTAGGTTGAGTTTCTGTTTTAAATAAAATTCACTTGGACAAATTCATTCATGTAAATATGACTAAATAAGCTACAACTAGCTGCACTGCACTGTCCTAAAATCAATGATAAAATAATATTTTCTAAACAGACAAAGGTTAGAATTATTTTCAAATATTAAATCATATTTTTATTATATTTCAAATAAAAAATAATAATTATATAATTAGCTCACTTCTGGAAATCTCGATTTATCCTTTTTATTGATCTAGAAGATTCTGATATAACATCCTTGTATGTGGGTGCGTCCAATGTAGGATTGTATTAAGGAAGTAAAATTCATTGTTTCATAGTGTTATATTCTTTAATTCTAAACCCTTGACGTCCCACATTATTATAACCAATCTCCCACAGCATTATACATCCAAAATTATTATGAATGACAACCTCCCCCATTATTATACATACCAAACTCCCACAATATTATACACTAGATATAGCCCGCCAATCATTGGCCACAGCAATGCCTGAACTTTCCATCTACTAAAGTTACTTGACAAAACATTAACTCAAGTAACGCACATTTAAGGATCCCAATTTTTGCTACACCCCTTCTCCCCATGATAAGTCACTGCACACTTTTTTTTTCACCCCCATGAACAATATTAAATATTCTGATGTCCCAGCCACTTTTAAACTGAATATTATTTACACCATACTTAAAATGAGACAATTTCATCTTCTGAAAAGAAAATATTACCAAACACAGTTACATTATAAAAAACAAAGATATCATTTAGCATCTTATATTTTGCGCGCTATTGAACTCATTGTTGAACCATACTTTCTTTCAAACATTTAGAATTATTTGTAATATACTCTCAATACCGGTACCAAATTCACTGATTAGGAAGCAGTCCACAGTACACCAGATATATATAAGAGATACCAACCTACCAAAAAATTATAATTCCAACCTACCACACACCTCTCACATTATTATACATTCCCACCTCCCATATTAGTATACATGACAACCTCCAACAGTATTATACAAACCAACCTTATGGACACAACAGCCTGAAACTGAAAGCAGACTCACAAAAACTTTGTAGTGTAGGTCATCAAATTAATTTTTATGCACTCAAAAAAAATAATCCCCCCCTTTTTTTTTTTTGGTGCTTAGAATTGTTCTAATCAAAGCCACAATTTTGAACATATGCTAAAACAAGGAGGCCTAAAAATATTTTATTACTATTCTTTATTATTTTTAAATAATCTAGAGGAAGCATTCAACATTGCGCTGGAACTAATTAATCTAATAGTAATACAAAAGGATATGGAGGAAGGTTTTCAACTTCAACCCGCTGTAAACGTATTATTTGACCGGCGTCTCGCTGCAAACCTGCCATTTGGAGGAAGTGTGACACTAATGGACTTTTACCCTCTGTGTTAAATACTACTTTAACAAAGTCACAACTACGCCCTACAGGATGGGACTGCAAGAAAATAATTTTAAAACATTTAAAATATATAGGGATATTTTTAGGCACTCCTCATAACGGTAGTCCCAAATTAAAAATAGAATACTTTTCGTTAGAAAATGTCCAGCTACCAGCCTAATAGCCGCCGATAATTGATGACATCATTTTTTCTTCAAATTTTATTTGCAAACTAATTATTGTAATAATATAAAAAAAACAATACCATACTTCAAATAGGGGGGGGGGGGGGGGGGGGCAAAAAAATCGATTCACTTTCCAGGAGGGGCAAACATTTTTTATTAATGTTTTAATATAGTTTTAATTTACTGTAGCGTATTTGTATGGTGAACGAACGGACAGGACATCAGCTTAGTTACTTTCTCTTTACTTTAATAAATTTTTTGTCTATTTTTGTCTAAAATTTTTTTATCCAATAAATCCAAGGAGGGCAAGTGCCCCCCCTTGCGGGCGCCCATGTGGCCTGCTGAAAACTGTCTAATACAAAAAAAGCAATTCAACAGAGATAACTTTTGTATCTCGCTTGCATTTTTCATTGTTTTTCTTCTTCTTTTTAAAAAAAAATCTTTTAGGAAATGATGATGAAGAAGATGCTGATGAAGATTGCGATATTCATTAAAAAAAAAAAAAGAAGAATTTTCAATAGAGCATAGGTAGAGTAAACAAAAACGTTACCAAGCCTTGGACACTTTCTAACAAATAGTCATATTTTTTTTAATTTGGGCAGCCGTTCTGAGGAGAGCCTATTTTCATTCATAGGACATGATAATGTCATAACAAAATTAGTCTGAATAATAATGTGAAAAAATTGGTAACTTGCGAAAAATCTTTTTAAAAAATATTGATATTGAAAAATAGGTGCTTTTTCCTTTAAAATAAGGAATTAATTCGAAATTGTCTGATAAAATTGAAAAATGTATTAATTTTTTTTATGGCAGAACACAATTCAATTTTTTTTAGGAAATTAATAAAAAAATTAATCATTACAAAGACTTCTGAATGTAATATTTAAGACTCAGATATATGCATTATGTATACCAATAGTTTTTTATTTAAAAATACACAGAATATAAATAATCCCAGTAGATGAAATGAGCCTGTGTGATAATGTAGCCATTGAAATTGTTAAAATTCTACTTTAATGAGATTATACAGATAATAATTTAAAAAGATTAAATTTAATTAGTACTTTTCATCATCAAAGTGTTCTGGCTTTTGTAATAAAAATACATCTTGATCTTTCATAAATCTTTCATAAAAAATGTTTAAACCTCTGTTTGAATTTTACCAAGGAGCAAAAGAAATATTCAGTACAGCCCTGGTGTTAATTACCTTAATTTCATGTTTGTTGGAGGCCTTCACATCCCAGATATTTTGTACATTCGTTTTTGTTATTTCATCTTCTCCATCTGCCTCGCTTGAAATCTCGCGGATGGGTGTAAGAGCATCAGTTGATCTAAATTTTTCTTTATCTGGAATGATGAACATTTTTTTTTTTTAATATTCAAATTGACTTGACAAATCATTCTTGGTAGACAAACTACAAACTAGTCTGTTATAAGAGAAGGCTCAGGTGTTAAATGTCTCTAGTATATTAAGTACCAACTTACTTTCTTTATGGACCCTCCCAACTCTGTTGCCATATTGGGCCTCAGCTACAGCTTCAATAGCAACTGAAACTTGGGATGATGTTGGTGATACTGACTTGTGGGGGGAAGATGTCTGAACATTTGACATTAAATTAACATATTGTGAATAGATCATGGTACTTCATTATTTAGTGAAACAAAAATGGGTGACCATTGTAAAGGGCTGAATCAAAATTAAGTAATTTAAAAGATGAAAAGATTAAAATGATGAAAAAAAAAAGATAATAAAGGTGCATTTCATGAGGAATAATTTTCTCATACAATGGGACTGAATATGTATGTTCACCTTGCAACCAGCCTGACCTTGGGGTTTTCTTGACCCTATGTAAGAATTAGTTGATGACCTTGAAGTGGAATGGGCTGTTGGCATGGCGGAGGCCTGAGCAGGATTTGTAGAGACCAGAGATTCAAGGTAATCCAAATTGATGATGGAATTTCCTGAAAATTGGGTGCAGGCCTTTTTCAACACAACAAACATTGAAACTCATAACAAGCAGCTTCAGTATCTAAAAATCTAAACAATTAAATATTGAGATGATATTCTTAATTTAAAAATTTAACAACTCAACTTAAGAATGAACCATTTTTATTTACCAAACACTTAGAAATTGGTATGTAAACACATTTAAAAAAATATTTAATAAGATTTACCAACCACTTTTCTTATTCATCAGTTCTTCCCTCTGTTTCAAGTTAGCTGGTTCAAGAGCAGACATGTCCCAAGTGAGCCAGTTTCTTGGTGCAGGTCTTATGCCTGATTAGGATAAGATTCTTTTACTTTTATTTATCCAAATAAATGGAAATGTTTTTATTTTAATTTTACAAATTCATTTTCAGCACAGATATAAATATTCTATTCAAGACAACATTTGTAAACTAGAACAATTTTAACACACAAATTTAGTGTGGAAATATAAGAGATTGAAAAATTTCATGTTCAGCTTCTAGATTATACAATTTCAATGGTAATAGAATAGTACACCTCATCAGATTAAAGACTGTTAGATTCCATGACATGATATTGATTGAGAGATACATCACACTGTGTACTATTGTGACAGCTGACTAACATTTATGGTGTTGTCATGGCTGGATTGTGTAACATTGTGACAGCCATCTAACATTTATGCTGTTGTCATGGCTGGATCATGTAATCTTTATTTTCCCCACAAACTGTGTGGCATCCTTATTTCAAGATCATATGTGACCCATCTATACAATAGCTATATTTTCAAACATTCATCAATATAATTAACAACTTACCTGCCATCCATCCATACACTAGAAATGTTATGTCATTCTTGAAGGACTCCCCAAACAGGCGGTAGGAATCAGGAAAAGAGAAACAAAAAGCTGTGTAAACAGCTTGTGACACCAGCTTGGGGTAGTCCTTTATGAATCAAGGGGGAAACGATAACAATTTTGTTGATTAGCATTTGCAGTGCATTCTCTTTAAATAATGGTAATTTTTAATGGGTTCAGTTTTTGATAAAAGAAAAGTATATTAAGAGTAAATGACTGGTTTGCAACATATAAACTTACTGTAAAAAACATATCTTTAAGGTAAGTATCAGATCCCTGCATCATAAGGTGTACATAGTTGTGGGCTACTCGACTGAACAGCTTGGCCTGAGATATTGGGTTAGCCTGGAACTTTTCTAAAAACAACCACCAAAATGTGTCCTGATAAAAACAAAAAAGAAATTTTTATAACTGTTTCTATTCAATGAACAATAAAGCAAATACAACTGTCGGTACATGTATTATGTGATAAAGTTTTATTTTATGCAATAATAATGTTAAAATATTTTAAAAAATCATACAATACAAAACTTTTATATGCTATATTTATAGATTATACTAGTCTAAAACTTAAACTGTAGGCCTAACTACCTGGAGGATTGCCTCTGACATGGGCGAATACAGGAGATGTTCAAATTCAATCCTGTAATTTGCCTTGAAAACAAAATAGACATTATAGTTATGGAATATCCATAATGTTGTAGAATTACACATGAGGACATGATGATACTGACATACCCATTTTAGTGGCAAAAGATGTCACATAGACATCAAGGATTAAAAATTGGATAGATCTTTTTTCTGTCTGGATTTTTGACATATAGGTTCCTCAACTCCATCCCTACGTCCTCCCCACCCAGGAAGATTCCCGATGGGCCGCTAGAACCGGTTATATAATAAAAATAAAAGTCATGAAGATAGGGCCGCTTTTTGTTTTTTTTCCCGGGCCGCTTTGATTTTTTCCCGGGCCGCTTGAACTCCCCAGTCCACCCCTGTCCCCACCCAACTCTGATGGATGCAGTTGACATATTTTTAAAAAATCTCATCCAGACATTTGATCAAACTTATTGTTTGCAAAATGTCTATAACATAACATGTATAAATTCTTTTTATCTTTATGTTTATACATGTAACCGTACAGCAGCGATGGGGGGAGAGGGTGGCAAACCTTAAGAATAAAAAATGAAATTCAACATAGTCGGAAGAAAATTTCAATTATAAAACACAAATGATGGGTTTAAACAAATTATTATTTCACTAATCTTTGAGATGAACACAAAAGTCTTAACCTTATTTTTCATCAGTCCAGAAGCGATGACAGCTTTATTGTACATGTCTCTTGTCAACAGACCTCCTGGTAAAGGAGTCACCTCTTTAGGGTCATATCCTGGATATTGTTGAAGCTTTAAAGGACAAAAGTTTTTTTAAAAAATATAATGTTCATTATTTCAAAGAATTTGAACAAAATAAACCAGAACTAAAAAAGCTTACACATTAAAATTATTTGTAGAATGAGTTCATTTGTTTCACTGAGTGTTGTTTCAATTGACACCAGCATACATCATACAGATATTTATTTGGTTACATAATACATCATTTTCCTGACTCTGAGAGACTGTTTATGACTCTGCATTACAATATAATATAATTTTATTAAAAATTAAAAAATGCAGCTATAAAAACTATAATTATTTATAAAAGTGTCTGCTGGTGAATTCTATGGTAACTGACGTAGAATAAGAAACATGCCTCCTGTTATTTATATATTTGTATATAAAAATTTGTTCATATTTTTAAAGTAACTTACCTCAACAAATTTAGGTTTACCCATTTCATTTTTAGTAGCAGCCTTCAAATATAAAGAGAGAAAAAATTTTAACAGATTATTTACACACAAAAAATATTGTCTATTGTAAATTAATTGTTTAACTTCATTAATTTTTATCTGTTAAATTTAAAATTAGTTAAAGAAATTTTCATAGGCTATAATTTACAAGGTGCTGGGAGATGAAATATGATTTTAAACAAAGGAAAAGAGTTTGGAAAGCTAAAAATGTGATTTCAGACACTATTAGATGTACACCTATACCTGGGCTTAAAATGAATTAAATTTTTGTCCTTTTTTTTCAGTTTGTTTACATGTTTTTAAATATAAAAAAGAATTATTCACTCTGTTAAAAGAAAATATAAAGCTTTCTGCACACTTGATATTCTGAAATTCCTTATTAATAAAATATATTTCTTGTTATTTGTTAAGGTTACATAGCTAAACCTATACATACTCACCAAAAGATTCTTTTTCTTTGACTTCATACTGATTTTGGTAATATTTTTCACCTTGTCACTTAAACTTGGAATGAGTGCTGCAATAAGTAAGCCATTTAATACATACTTACACGGAAGGCCTAAATGATAATTTTGATTTTAACAATGAGACAGCAAAAGTGCAAAAGTTATTCTGCAGTGATTAATTATAGTTTAGTTTCTTAAATTTTAACTACTTTAAGTACCAACAAAATTTAAAAAAAAATAAAATATATATACATATATATTATGTTTATCAAACCTTGTTATCTGTAAAGTATTGATCTAAAAAGTATTTTTTAAGAATCTTATATATTATGATTCATTATTTATTAAACTCACTTGATTTTATGGTGTATAGACCAGCAAAGGTTCTCACTTCTTTGGTATCCTTTGCTGTTAAAGTCAAAAGTCTTATTTAAACATTTATTTATCTATTATTATTATCTCAACATACATTCATTCTTTCAAGACAAATTTCTCAAAAAATGTCAAGAGTTTCACACACACACAAAACCATTAAAAAAACAATATTTTTATAAGTTGAATTATCATTAACAGTTGTAAAGAGGTACCAACAAAACAATTTCACTAAATATATATATATATATTCATACAACTTGCAAGGCAAAATATGGTGCATTTTTAAGATTGCCTCAAGGATAAGATTCTAGGAAGACATTGTAGAATATTCTATTAAAGTTAAAGAAACAAAATTCAAAAAGTGGTTTGAATATGATGTCCTACCTTGTTTTATATATTGCTCTCTGCTTTCTGCATTTTTACCTCTGTATTTGTCTTCATCAAAGTTGGAAGCTCTACTCTCACATACTAGGGCTGTATAGCTCTGCAGCTTCTGGTCTAACTTGCTGATTTTGTAACTCACCTCTTCCATAGATCCAATAAGGAAAGCTTCATTTAAGTTAAAGGATTTTTTTTCTCCTTGGTGTAATAGAGTAATTCTGAATTTAAAATAAATATGCAACCTGCCACAATACACAGAGAACTCTACAAAACAGTGATCCCACTTTAACTTTCTCATCAATATTCTTTTTAGGAAAAGTAATCATTTGTATCTATTTAATTTCTTTGGTAAATCTGTGATTTTTTAACTGTTTCAAAATGTATGCAGCAGCTAAGAAATGAACAAAAGCCACATTGTATGGCAAAATGAAAACATCTCCAGAAACTTATGATTTGACTACGCCCAATATAAATAGACTGAATATCATTATTGACTGACAGTGCAGACCCTATACTATGTGTGTTGTGTCAAACTTTAACAAAAGCTTAATCCATAATGTAAGACTAGAATTTACCAACCTTTACATGAAATTTTTAAGCTTAATTTCATAACTAATATCTGTGATAACCATCCTGCCAAAGACAATCAAGGACTAGAACAAGCTTCCAAAAGGAACATTTGAGGCGACAACACTTGACACATTTACGTCTATTGCCTCAGGCCTTCCAACCCACAGTTCATGATACAAACATTAAGTAGCCCTTGCAACCAGTGAAATATCCTCGTCGACACCAGGCACAGAAACATTGCAAATCCCCTCTACATGCATAGGAGCCAGACAGAATGATCAGTAAATGATCGTGGGCCCTTATATAAAGAAGAAGTCCAGAAGTTAATGAGAATAATACTCTATAATCTAAATTTTTCAGATCAGAATTTTTTTTTTGGTAACAGAGATTGTGAACTGGTAAAAACAAATTGAAATTGAATGTCTGGGAAAGACAATGATATCCATAGGTAAATAGTTTATGTAACATCATTTCCCTTGAGTTTTTTCAAAACATTTTCTATTCCCATTAGTTCTGCCTAATTTTTATTTCCTGCTGTGGATATGTGCATAAAATCTAGGCTATGTCATGTACTTTCTCAATCAGATAGTTTGACATACTCATACATTTTATTATATTAATAATTAAATATTAATTAATAATATAGTGTGTCTGATTACTATATGGACTAGCAGTGTCAGTTATAATAAGACTTAAGTATTTTAATGCCCAAAATTTTTCACACATTTTTTTATAAGGCAATGGTTTAGGATACGTGATTTCGTTCTCTGTTTACTTTTAAGAAGCTGTTTTCGTAAGTTAATTTTCTCTGGTGCCTCATCAAGACTTTCATCCAGACGGTCCATAGGTGATCCAACACGATTAATGTGTGACATTTTGAATGTGCTAAATTATTTAGATTGGTCTTCCTCTTATTGATTCTACTAATTCTTATAAAACCACAAATTAATCAGAATTACGGTTATGTTTATATAGTATAGCTAATGGCTAATGCCCTTTGTCCCTTTCGCCCAGGATTGGCCGCCATTTTTGTTTTGCTGAGCAACCAAAATTAAAGCTGTTCAAATAAAAAGTTTCGAACAAAACAAATTCTGTACATACGAACTGTTTTGTGAATTTCCGCATATAACGACATTAGTTATCTTATTTTAAAACATCATTGAATTTCTAGTTCTTCAGTCTTTGATAAAATTTCACTACTGAATAATTGTTGTAACTGTAACTAACTATATTTATATTATATTAAAATAATATTCTAAGTATAATATAATAATACACTGTAACGTAATACTCATTCCGAGTAATCTCCTCGGCCTCGGAGTAATCTAGCTAGAAGTAGAAGTGTACTAACAAGGTTTTTTAAACCAAAACAAAACAACTTTTCTATACTCTATCTCTAATTTAGTCTAAAAAATCTATAAATGTATAATCCTCAGCCTGCCTACGGCTACGTGGACGTAAAACTAGAATAGATCTAGTACTTAACTACTTGAAATTTTATATTATAAAATAAACTTGTTTGAATTATATTAAATGAAATTAATTAGGAGGCCTATTAAAATTAATTAAATTTAAAATGACTATGACATTACATAGTCACATAGCATTATGACGATGTTGCTATTTTGTTGTACACTTGTATTGTAGTCTGCAGTTGAAGGCTGACACTGATGAAAATGAATATTATATATTAGTATTAGTCTTACTTATTAACTTATTAGTCTAGTATTAGCTTATTTAAGTCTTCTGTCTTTTCAATCAAATTTAACATTTTTTTTCTTTTGACTAAGGCAGTGGTTGGCAAACTCATTAATCAAAAGAGCCAAAAATCAACAGCAGGATGATCAAACATTTTTTATAGAGAGCCAAATTTCTTTTTAAGAACCTGTTAAGAACAATGTTTTTTGTTGTCACTCAGGTCACTAAAGAGTTGCATGCGGCTCGGAATCTCGATTTGCCGACCACTGGACTAAGGCAATGTCATTGAAAAGTGACTTACTAAGTGTCATATATATCTTCAATAACACACCACATTCTATTCTATTTTTATTTTATTTTGGCAGCGTACTTTGCTAACAGTCTGTAGTCTAAGTAAAACATGTCATTTTGCAGTTGGGCTAGTGCAGAGCACTACAGGGATCATTTTAAGAAAGGTTTTTATTAATATTATAAATATGGATAAAAAATAATCAAAATAAATTTCTTATTAATTATTAAGTTTAGCAGGCCATACATACATGTTACTACCCTTTTTTAGTCTAAACACTGTACACAGAGGAAAATAATAACCTAAATCCTAATTCTTGTGTATGCATAACATACTATGTTGAAAAATATCTCCAATTTTAAATGGACTTAAACAGTCCTCTCACTTAGATCAAGCTAACTCACAATGTGGATTTTAAAAAAGAAACAGTGTGAATATTTTTCTGGTGCTCAGTTCAGTATTCAAAAATATCCCAGCTCAGTCTCAGAATAAATGTTAAAAGTAAATGAAATAAGTAATTTCTATAGGTCTACTCGCAAAAAAGCAGTTAATTTTCCTGCACTGACATTGCATTGTATATTTGTTAAAATATCTAATTTGATGAAACTGGAAAGATTAAAAAAAAAATTCTTTAGGGAAAAGAAAAGGACATGAATAGGCATCAGAGTGAAAAACCCAAAATAAGTAAAAAGGCAGTTTCTCTCAAAGAATCCCCAGGAAAATGGAAAAAGAGGCTCACAATGAACATTTGGTGAGGGGATGTAGACAAAAAGATAGAGAAAAAGGAAAAAACGGAGTAAGCACAGTTGCTGGAGAGAGAGGCCCAAGATATAGATTATAGTTAAAGATCAAAATGAATGACCTAGTAATACTAGTAATGCAAACAAAAAGTAGAACACTTTTAATAATATGCCTATATATTTTTTAAAATTAAATGCAGTTAGTACTGGAAAAACATGCGAAATAAGTAATTATTAGAGGCTTTGTTGAGTGAAGAAAGTTAAGTACATGTAAAGATACACCTATGCAAGCAAATAAATTAATTGTAAATTAAGCTGAAGCTTATTAAACTGCTAGGAAATTTTAAATCATATTAGCTAAATGTTAATTGTAATTTAAATCAATAATATTCTTTTAGTTTTAGTTACTTATACTTCATTTCAAATTTATTTTAGGTATCTATGTGTGTGTAAAGTGTGGACATGAGTTATTTAGCAGTAGATCAAAATATGAGCATTCTTCACCATGGCCAGCTTTCACTGAGACAGTTCATCCTGACAGTGTTCACAAGATTCCTGAATCTCCTTCTGCAATAAAGGTTTAATTGTTTGATATTTTTATAAGCAAACTGTAGTTATTGGATGCAGAACTTGAATGATAGCTGTTAAGAGAATTAATTATTTCATTCATATTAAATCATGGAGTATAGAAATATATTTTTAAAAATTTAACTTCTGAGATCATGCTAGATCAATATTTTATGATTATCGCCATCCAAAAACTAAATGTATATTCTAATGTACAACTTTAGAATATTCTTAACCAAAACCTTTCTATCTACTGTATACCATCACATACATCACTATTTTCACATAAATACTGAAATTAACTAATTACTTTTTGGAGTGACAAACATGTTTGTATTTGTATGCACAAGAGTTTAAAAACTTTGGCTACAGTCTGATGAATCATAATAATCATATTTTGATTGATCACTTAGAATGTTTTAGAATTGTTGAGCTAATAAATTAAAATCTTTAAAAAATAGCAATGTAAGTGATTGAAAACCTCACTCTTATTTATGTTTTATTTAAAATACCTATGACATTTGTCTCCCACTCAGTGGCATAGCTAGGGTTGGTGTCACCCGGTGTGTTAAACTCATGGTGTCACCCCACCCCCCTCCCCAATTTCCATGATGTTTTTTTTCTTGTTAAAATAAGTCCACAATATAACAATAACAAGAAGAAAAACAAATAAATCGAAAGTCATGAAGTTAATATATTTAAAAACGTTAAGTTATAGCTGTATTTACTTTAAATTTACAATTTTCCTTTCCTTGTCTTCAAAGCTGCAAACCTGTCAATCACTTGATCAAAATCAATGTTTTTCACTGTATGACTTTCAATTGATAGCAGAGCCACATCAGAAAACCTTGACTGTCACATGGTCGATCATAAATATTTCTTGATAAGCCTTAGTTTTGAAAAGCTCTGCTCACATGAAGCCACATACACGCCTATCGTAAGAAAAATTAAAGGCTTAGCGAGAGTATTGGAAGAGATTCTATGAAGTCCCATTCAGCTTTGAATTTCAAAACATAAAATATTGACCATTCCATGACTTTGAGAAATCAGCTGCTTTTAGATGTCTTCTAAGCCTTGATATTTCTTTTTAAAGTTCATCTTCTGATAACTCAGCATTGAAAGAAGTTAATTTTGGAACGGACACCAATTACTCTTCTTCACTTGCTGATACTAGACTTTTGGGTTGAACAGCCCCAAACATATCTGGTACTTCCTTGATCACTGATGATCTGATGTGGAGTTCAGAATGAAAGCGATCAATACACTCCAGCATCTCCCTACTGTTTTCTTCTCCCTGAAAGAGTCCAACATCTATTAATTAATAGTTCTCCTGCCATTCTCTTCTTAAATCTTCATCTTCTCTCTACCAAAATTCCATATTGGTCTGATTTTCAAAGTGCCTTTTGAATAGCATATTCCACCAAATGACAGTGCTTCTCGTGCAGAAACAATCTTAAGGCCTCTAGGTTTGTCAAAACTTTGTCAAGAGTAATCCCTTAAATCTGCAGATAGTGCTGAGTAAGATTAACTTCCTCAAGTAGATCAGCCCAAAGTTAAAGGTAGCAGATAAACGTGAAATCACAGACAACATGTAAAAGATCTTGTGCTTAAACTCTTGTATGCAAATTTTTACAAGGTGATGACATAGAGCTTTAATCGACTTCCAAAATTAATCAAACATATCTTTCACTGTTTTAAGAGTAGCATGATCAGCACTCCAACGTGTTGTTGACTGTCTTTTCACCGACATTCCAGTGTGTTCGATTAGAACATTCCATCGATTATTGGATGCAGCAAAGAAGGAAAATATTCTTTCAAGAGTACCCAATAATGTAATACATGAAGCATGTTCTGCAAAAGAGTGTTGACCACACAAGTTAAGTGAATGGCCCACACATCCATTAAAAATTGCTTTCTTATTATTTCTTTTCCGAATGGCTTGAACACCTCCATGGATTCCATACATTAGGGCAGCAATATCGTAACCCTGAGCTCTGAACATCAGTATGTCTAGTCCATCACGCTTTAGTTTGTAAGAATGTCAGAACTGAGGTCATCAGATTTTTTTCAATCTTAATATGAAAAATGCAAGGAACATTCCTGTCTTTTCAACTTTCCCATTGTGGATTATCACATATCTGATCACTACAAACATCTGGTCACCGTGTGATATATCAGGTGTACTTTCGAAAATAATTCCAAAATACCTCGCAGGCTTTTATATCCATGATAAGAATCTCCTTCACATGATTTGCAAGGACACTTATAAATTAATTTTGGGTTTCTGGTGAAAGGTAAGATACCTTTTGGGTTTCGATATATAATATTATATATGTCTTCAAAAAACTTTTCTTTATTTAAACTTAAATAAAAAAGAATTAATCATTAAAAGATTGAAAATTGTGTAAAATAATATTTTTTTTAACCCTATCAATTGGTAAAATTCATTTTTAATGTTTTTAATTTTTACCAATTTTTATACTTATAACCGCCCGACCACACTTATTTGGTATCAATGGAAAGCCATATTTCTCAGAATTTAGATAAATATAGCCTCTTGTCACTTAAGGAAGTTACCGAACACTTTAAACGGCATGGACTGTGTTTTTCTGAGCTAAACATAGGGTCATCACATTTCTCATCCATCAACCTTGAACTTTTAATAAAGCATGCATTTGGATTGGTTACATTTGTGAAAAATGTATGTGTGATTGGTTATCCTTTTATGAATCTCAGTTAGACCGAGAACTGTGTGCTATGTAAATATGCAATTTTTCAATCGGGTGTCACCCCTAAAATGGTGTCATACCGGTGCGGTCCGTACCCCCTGCTCCCCCCTCGCTACGCCACTGCCCCCACTTTATTATGTATATAAAAAAAGAAAAGTTTCAACAAGATTGTTCTAGGATTTTTTTTTATAAGTTAAATAAGCCGGAATATACATTTACATTTTTGCAAATTGGTTGAGTAGCCCTATTTCTAATATTTGGATAATTTATCTAAGTGAACTAAGTGAGTCAACTTTTTCAACATTAGTCATAGAATTGAAAAAAAAATCAAAACTTTTAGGATTCAAAGGTACCGGTATGAAAATTGAAAAGCTGATGCTTCATATTTAACCTGTTTGAAAGTTTTAATCATGACTAATGGAATCTTTACTGTTTCATAGAAAACAATCTCACCCATTAGAAAAATTTCAATCTTATAAGAATATGCATATTAACAGTATCTTAGCTAGAATTCCTATTGTTTTTTTATGTTTGACAAAAAATGTATCCAAACTATATTTTTTTAAAACTTAACATTCTCATGAAAAAGTGTAGCTGATTTTAAACAAATACATTTTTCAGATCAGTTTATTAAGTTATTAAAATCATGTTTTCAACATATGAAAAAAATCTTAACAGGTTCACTGTGGCAAGTGTAAGCACAGTCTGGGTCATGAGTTTGTAAGTGATGGTCCTCGTAGTGGGCAATCAAGATTTTGAATATATAGTTCGGCACTAAAATTTGTGCCAAAAGGTAACTAATGCAGAAAAGACTAGAATTTGATAAAGCTGTTTTAGACATTTTTGCAACACAAAATGATCTCCATAAAGTATGTTTAATGTATAACAATTAGTTAACAGTTATTTAGTTATCATAGCTAACGCTACAGCTTAGAATGGGTAACAGAATACATATTTTTGTTACAATCATTTGCTAAAGTAAGTGTAAATGTTTTAGCTAAAAAATTATAGTTTAAATATCTTCTAATGTTAATTGAAGTATAATTTTTAATTGTTTATGGAGACTATTTAAAAAATGTTTTTTAAAAAAAAATATGATTTACATTTTTCAACAGATGTCCCTGACCAAAAATTAGGGGATCAGAATTAGAATTTATGTATTTGTATTTCAAAAATCAAACAGAAATTTAAAAGGTTAATAAAACATAAAATATTAATTAGGAACTTGAGTATTTGGATTTTGGCTCTTCCTGGAGTGGATTATATGTTTCGTCGATGTACATCTGGAAGGAAGGGAATCATCACCACAGCCCCATTTTGAGACAATTACATTATTTTAAAAATATTGATGTTCAGGATCAAAGTTTTAAAACAAACCTACATTTGTAACTTACATAAAAACTTTAATTATTATTTTCTTACATATGGAGCATGGATTTATGATTTTAAGGACCACACTTGGTCACAAAATAGTTTGGATAATGCAATTTCTATTTTAATTACTTAAACATTGTATTTTGTATTAACTAAAAGTAAAAGTGATTGTTAATGAACTCTGCCTCAAACATGACATGTTCAGGTAACAGCCCTCAGGGGAAAACTTGAATATCGAAACTCAGAAGGTATTGTTCATTAGTTATGTTCCCTTTTCACAGATCAAATGTTTATTTAAATTTCTTTAAAAAAAAAAAATTTAAAGTAAAAATTAATTAATTTTTTAAAATTTTAAAGTGATTTATTTATGAAAATCCAAAATGTATTTTCAAATGATCAGCTTCATCGTGTCCCAGACCTATTAGCCTTGATTAACTGTCTTACATATTTAAATTATCGTTAAACAATTCTGTCCAATTTTTTTTTTAAAAATTCATTTTTTTTCCCAAGGTAGAAAATTGAAGGCAGACCTAGAAACATTATTTTGTAAGTTTTTTAACTGGCATTGACCCTCATCACAAGTATTCATGCATTGAAATGTTTGTTCAGTCATTTATAATTGTTATTTATAGCATATTTTTACATGCATTGAGCTATTCTATTCAATCATCTGGAACAACTTTTATTTGTTCGAGCTAGAATTGATCCATTCTGTCATTTTAAGGATGTTTTCAGCCTCACCTTTCCAGAGAACCATTCCAAATGACGATGAATTGTAAATGATATTATAAAAATGCAATCAAATTACTTATCGCTTCAATTTTTTTGAAACTAATATATTTGGGGAGGTTTCATACCTAAGAATAAAGGCAACAATTCACTATAATTTTAGATGGAGAGTTCATCTACTTTGCTATTTTGAAAGTTAACTTGCAGTTGAAAAATTTTAAATTTTTACAATTTAAATATTTTTATATCCCACCATTCCGTACGTGATAATAGAAGTGACATCTGAACAGCATCAATGGTGTATAATGTTATCTCATTGTTTGTGAAATTTTAAAATTTAAATTCACAACTATTTGAACTATAAATAGCACTGGTAATATTAGCTAACATAATGAGTAAATGTTTTTTTCTATCATTGCACTGAATAAACCACATACAGAGAAAAAAAATAGATAGAAATATTGAGGTCTATAGTTTTTAATTGGAAACCACAATGCTGCTATTGGCACTTATTAATAGACCATTCTTTAAGCCTTATCTGATCTGAAAGTAAATAATTGGGAACTTTGCATTAAAGATTTTATACAAATTTTGATGAATTATATAATAAAATAGCTTCAATATGGCATTGATCATTAGTTGATTGGTGCAAACAACTAGTGGGATCGTTGGTCATAAATTATTTGGTTAGTCAGAAATTTGTTTTTCATAAATTATTTACAAATGGGTACTTCTCTGTGCTGCTAATAATGTAAGTTAATTAAATAATTAGTAAAATGGTTTCTCATTTTATTAAAAATTATATTATTTGTCCAAATATGTCATTACCATTTTTCATACCGCCTCTATTCACCATGTTAACTCTCAGTGCTGCCACTATTGACCATCATGTTGACACAATACAATGTCAGTTTTCATGTATTAACCCTTGGTACTGCCACTATTGACCATCATGTTGACACAATGTCAGTTTTCATGTTTTAACCCTTGGTACTGCCACTATTGACCATCATGTTGACACAATGTCAGTTTTCATGTTTTAACCCTTGGTACTGCCACTATTGACCATCATGTTGACACAATGTCAGTTTTCATGTTTTAACCCTTGGTACTGCCACTATTGACCATCATGTTGACACAATGTCAGTTTTCATGTTTTTACCCTTGGTACTGCCACTATTGACCATCATGTTGACACAATATCAGTTTTCATGTTTTTACCCTCAGCAGTTTTACTTTTAGGACAATACTGTATATCCTTTAAATAACCAACCATACATTTTCAATATAACTTTTATATCAGAATCTCACTTTAATTTATGCTCATTTATTTGCTTACTGATGTAAACAGTTGTGCAATAACATATATGTTTTCAAAAAAGCAACAAATTATCTTATTAACTGATAATTGAAAAATACCCCAAATGTGTGGGCATGCACTTGAAGTAGGTAGACTTTTACTCAACTCAACATACTTTTGATAAGTCATTGTTTGTAACTGTTGAATCAAAGATTCTAAACCAGCTTCAACATCATATTTAACTGCTGGCTCCTTTAAGTAAGATATTTCACTTTCGGGATCTTACAATTATTTTAATGCAAATTTCACTTTTTAAACTTAAATGCAGTGGTTCCAAATCTTTTCTATACTGTGTACCCCCACAAATAATTTGACTAGTCTTACAACTCAAAACAATTGTCGTAGCATGTAAAAGAACAGTGCATTTTAAAATTGATAAAAAAACAAACAACTAGACTTTTAATTTATTCATCCAATTGCAAATAGCACTGTGGAACTTGTGACTTTGTACATAAAGGAAAATGTTAATGAAGAAATATTTACAAATATAAAACATTTTATCATAATTTATAAGCTAATGAATTCTCTGTTCTTAAATCCCCTTTCAACGGACCCCCTGAAATGCCTTTTCACACCCTCTGAGGGTGCGAACAAACCATCTTGGGAACCCCTGCTTTACTGAATTCCAAATACACAATTTAAAAATTTGACATTTTCAAGGGTCTTATAAGTTTTTAATCCTTATTGGACTCAGTTTAAACTTGTTCTTACTTGTTGGATTATTTCTTATTAAAATCTGATTTAAAAAATGACAGTTTTAATATATAAAGATGTATTCCTGAACACAATGATATCAGAGAATTAATTTAGGTATAGCTATATATTGGTATTTTGTATAATTTATACTTATTTTCTGCATTAACTGTTTTCCATGTCCAGAATGGAATTTTCAAGCAACGTTTCTGACTTAGAATCCTAATCAACATGTTGATCGTTCTTGTCTGACTTTTGCTTAAATTTAAAAATCTATATTTAATAACTAAATGGCCAGCAACTTTGCTCTATATTTTAAGGTTGTGAAAGTTTAAAAAATACCATTCGCATATCTAACATATCATGGGACATCAGATCACTAAAAACCCTAATCATCATGCCTATATATTTATTGTGTCACAACCCCCACCTTCCCTGAAATCAATATACCCTGACCTCCTTTTTAAAACCTTTCAGAATGTCTTGCACTAGAGGTTTTTATTCTGGTCTATATTTTTAATTACTCAGAATGTTTACTTTGATATTTCATGTGGTTTTTGTGACTAAATTAACCTGTTTCTTGACTCTAATAAAAAAATGTATGGTTATATTGATGTTGGCTGCTTCATCTTAGTAAGCTTTTTATTTTAATTTTTTTTAAAAGTATTTGAACAGCACAGTCTAACATTTAATTCTTAGTTTGTGACAGGAAAATAAGGTAAGGACTTGTTCAAGTTTCCAACCTGGTCAAAAACAATTACTAATATATTAATTGGAATGAACATTGATAGATGCATCTAGTTAATGACATCTTGCAGACCTGAAATACATACTGTTATAAACAATTTTATTTCAACCACCTGTAATGAGGCAGGTTGGTGATTTAAGACTATAATTATATTGATCAGTAATAGAGGATGTCCGCAATTTAAATTTTTGATTTTACAATGTCTGTTTAGGGACATCCTGTATGAACAACACCAAATATTTCCTAAATTTAATGCAACTCTAGTCCTTACATTAAAAAAAGAAATATTAATGATCTGTTTCATAAAGATCAAAATATTTTAAAACATATTTTTTTATAAGTGAAGATGGCAAAATCTGTATCTGAAAATTAATACAAAAAGCCCATATTGCTGGAATGGAAGTTAGCTTAAACAGAAAAAATACACAAAAAAAAAATTAAATTTATTAAAATTTTATATTTTCCACTGGTCTCACTCACATCTTCAAAAAAATAATTAAAAAATCTCTGTCCAACAAATAACATTTCAAAAAACTTCCATTCAAACTACCGTCCTTTGAATAAATAGGTTTGGTACAAATTTACGGTAGCAGCAAAATATCTTCCTCAAGCCATCTTTCTTCAAACATTTTGGAGTCAGCATGGCAGCAAAAATATTAATTATTCTAAATTATCAAAAGCTCAAGATTTAACAGTAGCTTTTTTATTGGGAAGCCAAGCTTCTGGTCTATCGAGCCACAAGTTGTAATTCTGTCTCCACATAAAACGTTTCATAGTGCCGCAATGAAGACATGTCACTACAGTGTGCTTCTCACTTCTACCTGTTTGAAAAATATTCATAGCAATCAGTAATTATTATGAAATTTTATTTTATTTTTATTAAACTATTATCATGATTTTTTAAAAACCTTTTCTGGGATTGGCAGATATCTACTTAAATTTCAGAAGAAAGCTAAAATTAAATTGAGCCCAACTTTTTCAGTCAATACCTCTCAAAAAAACATTTGTGTCACATCTCTCTGAGAAAAAGAACACTTCACAAAAAGTTATGTAAAACATATTAGTTACGCCTCAAATGCATCAGATGTGAATGAGTTGTAATAAATATTTTTAATAGATGCAGCCATTTCAATTAAAGTTACAGTAACAATTTGATTCAATTAGAAAAGTACAAATAAATCAGGAAATGTATCTTGAAATTTTCAAACAGCTAGTCAGTTCCTTTTATGGCGTATGTAATTATTAAATTTAGAAGGACTTACTTCGAAATCTGATTCTGCAAGTCTGACCAGAAATTAATATGATATTGCAGCTCTTACAGAAGGATCTCTTTATAGAAGGATGCCTGAAATTATGGTAGTTTGTTTGAATGTTAATACGTTAGGATGGGTTTAAGTTAATGGTGATGAAATTGAACAAATGCATGGCAACTGGCTGGATCAAAAACTACCACAGCATGAAAAACTGTACAGTGAAAATGAAAAGTAACAAAATAAACAAATTGTAACTTTTTAATTTAATTTTCAAAGTTTTGAATGCATGCAAACTTTGCCTCCTTGATAATTTATGGATGAGTTTGCAAACTCAAACAAAAAATGTCATTGTTTTTGTTCCATAACTTATTTTAAAATGTGCTTTAATGTCATAAAAGCCTGAAGTAAGCACTTAAATTTCTTTTTTGCAACGTCTGCAAAATGCATGTGATGGTCTGATTAATGAAACATAGATAATTCCAGAGTATTCGGTCAGCCACTTCCTTAGAAACTTGCCCCAAGGCACATGTCTAAGAAACTTGCCCCAAGGCACATGTCTAAGAAACTTGCCCCAAGGCACATGTCTAAGAAACTTGCCCCAAGGCACATGTCTAAGAAACTTGCCCCAAGGCACATGTCTAAGAAACTTGCCCCAAGGCACATGTCTAAGAAACTTGCCCCAAGGCACATGTCTAAGAAACTTGCCCCAAGGCACATGTCTAAGAAACTTGCCCCAAGGCACATGTCTAAGAAACTTGCCCCAAGGCACATGTCTCATTAAAACTTTTGCTTTCCTTTTTTAAAATGATACGTTTCCATCTGGAGTAAAAATGATTTATAAGAAAAAAAGATTATGAAGTGCCGTGACTACTTTTGGTGATAGGCTTTTAATTGCCAATTGAAATTAAAATTTTTGACCAAAAATTCCCAGAAACTGGTGTGAAAAACTAGTCAAAAGTTAATGAGCTTCATCATTTTTTTTCCCATAATTTTGTTTAGTACTTCCGTGGAAAAAAATCAGACAGACAGATATGAAAACACCCTTAATAAAAGTGTAAAAAAATTAATTTAAAAATATAACAGCCGTGAAGCAGTTGAGCAAGTATACAGTGTTATGAATACCCTAAGCCACAAATAGTTTTCTTGAGACTGCAAAACAAAGATGGCGCAACTTCTATATCTAAATCATCTGATAAAATGCATAAAAGCCAATGCGAATCATTTCAAACGTAATTCTAGAATATAATATTTTAATTGTAAAAATAAATCTTCAGAACTATCGAGATATTGATAAGTAGTATATTCAGTTATATATAATAACGGTAATATATTCAGATTGCAGAGAGCAAATGTGCTTCAGTAAACTTAACACTTTATCAACACAATCATTTTCTGTTCCTGAGGGCTCACAAATTTAGATGTCGCCAGACTGTTTCTATAAAATGGTTCATTTTGCTGGTTACACTAGATTGCTTGAAAAACAATTTAACAGGTGAGTTCATTTAACATTGTAGGTAACTACTTACATTCTGATCACGTGTTTCTGCGCCACAGTCCTCATCGTAGAGATATAATATTGGCATAACTGATAATTGCTTGGATCATGTTGTAAAACTAATCTTGCTGCCTATGATATAAAAATTGAATTGAAATTTGCAGATGTGTTTTTTGGTTTGTTAAAATTTGTATCCCAACTCTCCTTGTGTGTCATTAAAGCAGTTTTAACTTTAAAATTTAAGGCAATTTTAAACAAATTCGTTATTTCCTAGATAGTTTAAATTTAGCATTTTCATCTTTCAAAGTTTTTATGATCTTCAATCTAAAGAATTCAAAATCTATGCAGTGATAAAATTTGCTTGTGTTTTAATTTTTAATTATTTTAAGCCAGGAAAGCAAATTTAAATTATTATTCCAATTACTTCTCATGAAATAGATACAAATTATAATGCAAGAATAGAGAGTCATATATTTTTAAAAACATTCAACTTGCTAAAAGGCAATATTATTTTTTTTTCGGTTGGCATTATCACATGAATACACATATGGTCTTAACTTACTAGCCTATACTTAGTTTGAGGAGACATATTTTTATATTTGTTTTGATGTGAATTTATGGCAAACTTGCTTATGCATCTGCTCAACTATTTTAGAGGATATATTACTGCCAAAGGGTGCACTATTAGGTTAAATTTAGGTGTGAGTTTTGGGGTATATTTGCACCCAAGCCCAAGTCATTGTTACTTAGACCAGTAAAAAGAAGTAGGATTCAGAATCATATTAGGGATTATCAACTATTAATTTTCTGATATGGCACAAATTTAATAGTGTACTACTTGTTTAGATACTGATCTTCTATCGAGCGCCTCCCCAGGTGGCGGATAGAGGAAAGCCCACCAAATATGGTGGATACCCGTGAAATAAAATACCCGGGGCGGACCAAAATCAGTACCTTCTGCCTTGTAGGAAGTGGAGGGATCCACATAGGATAGAGGGACCCCAGACGGTTGTGCGCAGGGCTGACAATGCTGTCACGTAAAAAATCAAGTGTTACAAAAGTCAAACCATATACAGAAAAATGGACTGATAATTTTGGATTTCGACCCATGCCTGAACAAAAATAGGATATATGGATAGCGACCTGGAATGTACTTAGTCTATATAGAGCGGGAGCATTGGCCCGCCTCAGTGACGAATTGCTAAGATATAGAATTGTGGGTATGGCACTGCAGGAGATCAGATGGAAAGACTCAGACATCCTAAGTACTAAGGGGTATACAATATTCTACAGTGGAAACAAAACAAACACCTTAGGAACAGGGTTTACAGTCAAAAGAGTGACAGTAAATGCGGTCATTTGGTTTAAACCAGTGGGTGACAGACTATGCTCCATAAGGATAAGAGGAAAAATGTTAAACATGACGTCAATCTGCGCACATGCACCAACGGAAGATACCGATGAAAGCATGAAGGAAACTTTCTACGAATCACTCGAAAGAGTATTTGATGAGGCACCAGGCCATGACACCAAAATAGTACTTGGCGATATCAATGTGAAAATTGGGAAGGAACCCACTTACAGACCAACCATCGGAAAGTCTGCATGATGAGAACAATGACCTAACCTGGACCCTAAATCGGACATCGAAAAAATGTGGATGAGAGCGAAGCGGCAGTTGAGAAGACAATTAGGAACTAGTCGTGCATTGTCTCCGTCATATCTGTAAGAATTTGCCTATCGTAACCAGTTTCGGCGCACAGGCATGTTTCCAAACTTCCTGATTACGCTTGTCGAAAACTATCTGTGATTAGACAGGAAGACTATCTGTGATTAGACAGTCTGTTTTGGTTCAGAGTAAAATAGTGCTTTAAATAAACTTAAAAACTGTTTTAACTACAGCTTTGTGGTGTGTATTTTATATTATTAAGTATTAAAGCAATTTTGGGTGTATTTTATTTTATTAAAGCTGTTTTGGGTCTATTTTAATTACCGATGCTATACTACCCCGGAGGGCTGATTCTTAGTTTTCACCCCGTGACGTCATTTGCGTGTTTTTATAGTTACAGTGAATTAGGGTTCAAGGTAGGCATAGGGATCGATTAAGGGATACATTAGTGACAAAATTAACTGGTTGTGTCAACCAAGATGGCGGCCATCGTGGGAGGTTTTCTAATAATTTACCTATCGGAGTTTTACCCCTAAATCTATTCCTAACCTGGGTTTTGACCCTATCGGAATCATGAACCAGGGTTTTGACCCTACTATCGGCAGTATCGGAACCAGGGCCAGGGTTTTGACCCTAACGGAACCAGTGACAAATCACGCAAATGACGTCAGTGTGATATCTCTCCATATTAGCCTGAATTTCAAACAATTAAACATTTTTTTAAAACCACAAACTTGATGCAAAAAGTTGATTTTTTGGAAAATTTCTTTATGCACGAAGCGTGCGCCGTCTTTCCCCATTCCAAAACCATAAAATAAATACCGAATAATTTAATAAGAGTAGCGGCCCTTTAAAATATTCTTCTTCTCTGTGAAACATTGTTATTCAAATTTTGAGGCCCCATTGAGGCTCCTGGCAATATTGGAAAATCCACCAAAACAGTAAAAAAAAAATGCATAATAACAAATAATTGTTAGATACTGATATATATTTTGTTTATTGCCATCCCAGCAGGCACGTACCTCACCCCCACAGAAGCCGGGTAGACTGATCAGAGCAAAACGCTCACTGAACACGGACTTCACCACTGACATTCCCATAAACAATTACACCAGAAACGATAGCAAATGCTTCAAAGTGCCTCAGTGCAACACAGTGCAGTATCAACAATCTTTCTTCCCACGCACAATAATAGCATGGAACAACCTGAACGATGCCACTGTGAACTCGATATCAGTCGAAAGCTTCAAGGCTGCCCTGGCATCAGCTAGGAGCTGTTAGAATAGCAACATCTTACCCCCAACCGTTACAAAGATGCCAGTACATGGATGCAGCAACGAAACATTACCAGAACCAGAAGGGGCCGTCCATTAATTTTAATTACAAATTAATTATGCCCCCCACCCGACACTCTTTAAAACATGGGTCTCAAACTCGCGGCCCGCTGGCCATTTGCGGCCCACAAGACGATATTTTGAGGTGCGCTACATAACAGCAAAATTTAGTGTTAATGCGGCCCGCGCGTTTTCCCCATCTATAAAGGTGAACCCCCGCGACGGTTCAGTGGAATCTCACCGACTGGTCTAATTCTGATTTTTATTATGTTGGTATAGAGTTGGACGTTGATTCTAATGGGAAAAACCATTTTAAAATCGCACTAAAAGTTTTTATTTGATAGCATTTTGTGAGAGAAACATGGCGGCCAAAGTGCGGTTTTGAGAAAAGCTTAAAAAGTCACTTAATGGGCAATGCACAACGTACTTATGTAAATCGTAGCACTCTGACACAGTATAAAAGAATCCCTATTATATTTACCGCTAGTGTTTACGAGTGAGGGAAATTCCGAGCCTGTCAGCTTAGTCACTTTCAAAATAGGGATAGTAAAAAATACCTTTTCTACGATAACAAATCAAAATTAATTCTCCCTACAATAGCATCCGCCTTAGCATCAATAATTCATACATATTTCTGCTCCTGTCAACTGTTGGAACACGTTTTAGCATTTAAAGCCTTCATGGAGAAAGATGGGGTGGTTGTCCCTGTACTAAGTGATCCCAACTGGCTCATGGACTTGGCTTTAATTGTTGACATTACACAGGAGCTGAATGTACAGAACAAGAAGTTACAAGACCAGGGGTAGCTTTTCAGTGTTGCCTATGACAATGTCAGGGCATTCTGCACAAAACTTGTGTTGTTGTTTTTAGAGAAACCGCTGCCATTTCTCAGCATACAAAGTACTCATGGAGTCGGACACACCAGTCAGTAGTAAGTATACTGATGCCATTGCAAAATCTACAGGAAATAATTCTATCACATGTTCTTAGACATCAAAACACAGAGAGCCACTTTTCATTTTTTGCTGACCCTTTCTCCTTAAAGAGACCCCTTGCTTACTCCCCCCCCCCCCCCCCCCCTCTTTTTTTTTTTTTTGCGCTTCAAATGGAGCTGATTGATCTTCAGTGCAATTCTAAGTTCAGAGAGGTGAATGGAAAAACAGAAAAGCATGGACAATTTATGAGAGCATTGCCCTCCACCTGCCCCGAGATTTCCAGGTTGTCCAAGAATATACCTTTTTAAGGGAGTACCTATCTGTGTGAAACGCTCTTTTCCACTATGAAGGTTGAGCAGATTGTAACAGTTTTATGTACGGGGTCATCCATTAATTACATCAACAATTTTACGCAATTTTTTACCCCCTCCCCCCCCCCCTGTCAACAACTGTCAAATTTTTGATGAC